GTCATAACTTAAAGATCAAGGTGCTTTTTTTGAACGATACAATAAAACCACTTGTAGCTCTTTGGAGCCGGATCCAGCCCGTGAAAGGTTCTGGGATTACTAGGTAAAATTTTTAAAACTATTTAAATAGTATGAAATTTAGCAAATCACTCAAAAACGGGGTTACTACAATATTTATTATATGAGTTGTTTATCTTGGAAAGTTCATTTCACAGCTGAAGTGTCATTTAAGCCCGCGGGACTTACAAGTAGGTCTGTGTGTGGCCCGCGGTCAAAAAAGTGTGGAGACGCCTGCTCTAGGTCGTGTCCCTTGTACAATGTCTGCAAGATGATGGTTTGGCATTCTAAGGATGTTAGCCCTGGAATAGACCTGATCGCAGGCAAAGGTTTGGATGTAAATTACGAAAGTGTATGTTATTCTGAATATAAAGAACCTTGTCTTCAGGAGCCGCTGCTTTCAAAAATGGCGGCTGATTTCGGGAATATTAGACCAGTAGTAAGAGGATCGAAACGGGAAATCCATTGCGAAAAATGTGAGAAAAGTTTTTATATTTTTAGTGCACGCAAAATTTAATGCTCTACAACTTTGTTTCTGTGGGGTTTTGCTCTTAGGGAACTCAATTCCATGTTACAAGGCCATTTATAGTGATTTGTCTCAGTTTTTAACAAATTTGTAACAAAATTGGTTGACCGTGGTTTTATACCTTACCACGCACGTAACCAAATTATAAAGTTTATGTACTTTATTGACGAAAAATTTAAGTTTCTTTAATTTATTATAGAATACATTTTTCGCTTTGATGCATCGTTTAGGAGTTATAGGCGAAAAAACAAAAAAATATCGAAAAAATCTGACTTTTTTGGCTGTAAAAAGATTTCCCTTTGGCCCGCGGCGTTAGCAATTTTTTTTTTTATATTTCTAAATCCATATACATAAGTTAAATAAATTAAAACTTTCCTCATGTTTTTCGCAATGGATTTCTCGTTTCGATCCTCAAATTACTGGCCTAATATTCTCAAAAGCAGTCGTCATTTTTTAAAGCAGCGGCTCTGAAACGGCAGATAAGATACTTGTTACTCAGAATAACATACACTTTCGTAATTTACAATCAAACCTTCGTCTGGGATCAGGTCGATTTTTGGGTTCTGGCTTTAGAGCTATATGGTCAAGCCACCTTAGTTGGAATTCTCCTATTACTGGTTTTATAATAGGACTCACATTGAGAATGGATCTTATTGTAGTTTTAATAATCCTATCTTTTGTGGTCCGGCCTCTGGTGTCGCATTTCCATTGTCTGGACCTGTCCGTTATTTTCTGTTATTATTGTGAAGTACCGAGAGGGATATGTAAATATTGGTACTAAGATGGACTAGTATACCCTGATTTTTGTCTTCTTCTTCACATCTTTTTTGTTTAGTTTTTATTCCAGTAGTTGCAGCCGTAATTTTACTCGCTTTGTTTTAAACAGTTCTTCACATTCAACTTTCTCTGGCTGGTAATGACGTCCTAATCTTGCTCAACAGTTCCCAAAGTTTTATTAAAGGTACAAACATTGGTATATCCTTGAGCAGAATTATTATCCATCACAGTCATTCTTCTCTTATCTCTGATCCAATGTAAGATGGTTTTCACATTAAATCAAGTTGAAAAATCCTCAATAAATTATTTAATTTGAAAACAGTGTTGTTGACTTTCTACGGGAGGTAGCAGGAGTGCCTAAAAGGAGATTTTATGGCGCAAGTTACTCAATCAAAATTTTCGAGGGGGCATATTTTGATGGATTTTTGAGGAGGCCACATTTTAACGGAGTTATTAATTTGAGGAATGAAAATTTTCAGAATATGGGACAAGGAAAAAACATGGAACAGACAGCAGTAAGTATAATTGAGTATCATCTACGATTTTTCTAATAATACATTCCCTTGCTCTTTTTTTTTAATGAAAGTGAGCAATAAAATACCTTGTGAGAGGGGGTGGGTAGGTTCTTGCACCATCGACCTAGGGGATGGGGAGGAGAAGGAAGATGGTTTCCTCTGATAAATAGTAAATAGTATACTGTGGATTTCGTATTAGACGCAAAGACTTATAACATCGTCCATAATATTGCTTTATTTTGTTTCTATTTTAGGCTCCTTACTGGGAATATGCTTTTGTTTTTTCCTGGTTAGAGTAACACAATGTTGTAGACTATGTGCTCGAAGACGAGACTGAAACTTTACTTTCTTGAATGGATCATTTTAAAAGTGCTTATATCTATGACGCTGTTAACGTCAAAATAATAGCTATATGCAATAGCTGTTTTTTAAATTGTTATTTCTAATAAAAATATTTTAATTCACACTTTTTTTTTATTTCACAGTTTTTAGAAGAATATGTCGCATATTACACACGGGCGGATCTACGGGGGGGGGGGGCTTTCGGGCTGAAGCCCCCCCCCCCCAAAAATGGTAAAATATAACCATGTTTTATCGGAAAAAATACTAAAACATTATCTCTTAAAGTATAATTATTCGTGTAATTACATTTAAAAGGACTTTAGGGATCACATAAACACCAGTTCGTATAGGTACTTAGTTTCTTTCGTATTTTCCAAAGTAATTATCGTTACTTATATGAAAAAAAAAAGCTTTCGGGCTGAAGCCTCCCCCAAAATTAAATCCTGGAGCCGCTAGTGATATTACAAAATGTATTTTTTTTTTTTTTACTTTCACTTACCTATATATATATATATATATATATATATATATATATATATATATATATATATATATATATATATATATATATATATATATATATATATATATATATAGATATAATATATAGTAAGGTAAAGTATTGTGATCGTGAAAATTTTGGAATCTTCAACGGATATACACGTTTTGAGGTCCCTTGAAGAGTCTAAATAATCAAGTCCCGCAAAATGTGGTAAGTCTAGCTCAAAAACGAAAAGTCGTACGAAACTGATATTACCTATTTAAGATAGATATATACCTTGGATGTGACCACAACTTCACGTTAAAATCGACTAACCGGAAGTGGCACTTTATATCAACGGTGATACACATTTTTACAATTTTCTCAAAAACGGCTTAAACAATTTTGTTTAAACGCGGTGTATCACTATCATTGGTGTTTAATATCATTGAGGTCTTATACCCATTGATGTCACTTTACAAAGCTTAAATGTTCAACAACGGAAATCACTTTTCAAGGAAATTAAATGAAATTTACTAACTAAACTTTTTTTAAGTTTAAAGAACTATTTCATAGTAATTATGTGAAGGACGGAGTGAAATATAAAAATATTTCATGGTTGTATAAAGCACGTGTTTATAACCTTATTAAATACATGTACCTGTAGTTTAATATTTGTAGATCTGATATTATTTTTAAATAATCAGATATCAACGTCCGTTTATTCTGAATAATCAACATCTAACCTTTTAGAAAATTAAATTAGTGAATAATTTGATGAATTTTCTTTTTTTGAAATCCAAACATTAACTACTTAAAATTAGTGTGCCAACTTTTGACCTATCTATGACAGGCAATGAAAATCTCGTAATTTCATTTTAGTAAACGTATACAATTAGTACAACTGGAGTACGTAGGTTTTTATTGTCTACCATTAATATAATTAATATGGTTTTGAGTATTTAATTGTCTTAATGATTTGTTAGCTGTAAGCTTTAAGCTATAGCTCCGTTAAAAGTGCACTTCAAAAATTTTATAATTGGTCAACATTGCCAGAAAATAATTCTATTTAAAGTAGAGAGGTAAGTGAAAGTTATGTGTTGTGCGCTCCAGATTTTTTTTTATCTTAGATCATCATAGTATTAGAATAATATCAACTCATCATATAGAGAACTATAAGTAATTTAATATACAAGTAACTTTAGTATTCAATAGCCAAATACACAATAAAGTGTGACATTTACATTAATTATAATATTTTTAATAACGTTACTACTTCACTAAAACACAAAGATAAATTAATAATGTAAAACTAATGAACTCGTAAACTATCCATTTATTAAATATTGTTTCATTTTCATAAATATATTAACTACTTTGTTTCAATACTACTATCCAACTAACAATTCGATAGATATGTTGAAATCTTTAAAAGTAAAATGTTTTATACTATTGAGTTGATCTACAATAATTTAAATTAGAATAGTTTTAAGAAAATTTTTATTTACCGGAGATCTGTTTTATGAAGAGCGACAAGAATATGAGTAAATAATGTAATAACATTTATTGTTGATGATTATAGAAGTATTCTTCTGAAAATGAGGAGTGTTGCCCCGAAACGTTAAGAATGATTTATAAATAATAAAATAAATGAAGCTGTTTAAATATAAGGATGCTATTTATAATTGCAAATGCCCCTAGATTTTATGAAGAGTATTTGTCTTTTTTATAGTTATGGTAACTTTAACTGCCGCCTATTTTGTATTTTATTTTCTATAGGTATAGAAAACGCTAAATTATTAAATTATTTAGCGAGTTAACAGTTGAAAATGTATAAATGTTTATTTTTAATAAGATTTACCGATTTAATGATTTAAAGTTATTACAACGATCTAATTATTATTATTTCAAATTTAATTCTACACATGATGAGGAGTTCGAAATCAAAATAAATTATTTTCTTAAAGAAAAAATTAAATGTTCTTAATAAAGTATATTTCAGATTTTTTGCCCCAACTAGAACTAAAATATGTATATGCAATTGATTAAATTGATCTTTATAGCATAAATGTTATATAATGCGCAATATGAATTACGTTTTTAAACTCGAAAGAGATGACAAAATTTATTTTATTATAATACTTATATAAAATTAAACTGAATATTCAATACTTGCTTTCTAATTAACATAATTTATAGCCCAAAATAATTCAATAATGTGTTGAGAATTTAGTTTAATCGATAGTTCAATATCATTAAGAATTGAATAATCGATTATTTTCCTGTTAAGAAGATTCAGTGTTTAAAAATGGCTGCGCCTGATATCTCGCTATGTTGAGATTTTGGTATATGGGACTGGCTCGATGTTTGATATTGTAGTTCATTTAGACGAAGCTCAAAGCTAGTAGTTAACTCCTAACATAATAAGTTTAGTAAAGTAATATTTACTAGCTGCCAGTATTATTATGTAGAGCTTTGATTTGAAAATAAAATAAAATAAGTAATGTTCTGGTATTGGTTTATTTAGAAAGTAATCGCCTATATTAGTTATGATTTTAATATTTAAATTTTAAAATAGTTCGTCAGACTTGCTAGATACTAAAAATTAATTAAAATGAAAAGACTACTCTCTAAAATCGAAACTAAAATTGATACAACTTCTAAAGAAACTAATAATTATGTTGGAAAAGTATTTCAAGTAGGTAGGACGTCAGTCACAGTAGAGGAGATTTTGGCAGAAGGTAGGTCCAGTTTTAATATGTAATGTGCATTGATGAAAATTATTAAATTAATTTCTTTTCTGTATTGTCTACCTTGTCATCCATTTAGTCATGTCAAAACTTTCTTACATATCTCCAATGTTTTTATTCTTTACTCAAAATGATTTAATTATGTACTGAATAGTACATCAAATCTAATATATTTTTTGTTGTAAAATATCAATAATTCTGTAAAATGTTACATTATTTACACCAGTGTTTTTTCAGTTGAAGCATATGTCACTTTTCTTAAGTGCACCTAGTTTTTTTTTCTTTCAGGTTAAAGTTGACAGTTATAGTAAATTATATAATTAATTGCCTTAATTGAATTTTATTGGACCACTCTTGTGATTTAATGTATCACTTTAATATTATGTTTGGCCTGAGTTGCTTTTTAATCTTGAGAGATCTTTCTTCAGTATTATGGTTTGAAAATCATAATCATTATCGGAAACTAAAATAATGTTAGATAAACTGAAGCAAATTCTTCATTGAGCATCCTTGAAACATAAGACTCATTACCATTGAACTGATTGAAAATATCTTTGTTAATGACATAACTTGTGCAGTTATTGTAGAATTCTTTCACGTACATATATTCAAACATCAGATGGTTTTAATGATTTAATCTTTAAACATATTTTTGTGAGCCCGTGACCTTAATATTAATTATTATGCTACTCATCAAATATTAAAGTCTTTTAAAATTTTTATTTTTTCGTGTTTCCATTTTTAAATTTTATAGTTGTAAATGAAACATATATGTACTTTTTTGATATTTGATTATAACTTTTTTATGAAGGTATAAATCCCAATAGTTGCATTTTGTATGTAATTCTGTTATCCTTTTTCACAGTATAAAGTGACCTATAAATGAAATGAGTTGTCATTTAAATAGTTTGTTCCACAAAAATTATGAGATTCCTTCATTATTTTCTCTTGAAATAAATATCAAATTTAAACATAACTTTAAATTGGTCCGTGACTCGAAAACTGTAGAATCACCCATGTACTTTTATGTATAAAACATTATGTTTCTAATAAATTTTTGTTTCATCGCTGAGATTACTTTTCTAGTGCGTTATTATTGAGTTTTAAAATTAGGATATACTTGTTTAGAAGGGCTGGTGTTAATTTTGTTTTTTTTTTCCTTTAAAACCATTTTTCTGACTGTGGACTTAATATATTATAACTTTCTAAAAAACGTTGCACATCAGTTATGCCATAGAGGTCTTAGTTTCAATTTTGGAATAAACTTTTATCAACCTAGAATGGTTATGTTAACAAAACTTGTCATCTGTGTGCTAACAAGAAATATCAAAAAGGTTAGTTTTTAGAGAAATTTTTAGGAGCATTATAGTTTTAAGCTGAACATCGTTGTTAACTTCCTCTCACTCATGAGGTAAATAAAACTCCCAAAGCTCTCTAATCTTGATCTTGCCGATGTAGGCTGTATTTTTCTTTAAAAAATATGAATATATATACTACTTTTGGATACATATATATTACTTTTGGAAAATAATAACTCGTTTAGTGAGAATAAAAATATTGAATTTATTTTTTGCTAACTCTCAATATTGCTTTAGGTTGATTTCTGTAAAAGTTTGAAATTTAAATCAACACATATTTTCTCTAACAACCAGATATTACCAAAAACTTATCAACTCAATATTTAAATGGAACAGGTTTCTGTAATCTGATGTTTACATTAGTCATTCAATATTCATGATCTACAATGGATATGTCTAGTTTAATACGATTGTACGATGTGAATGAGTCACCTTTACTATTGAACGCCGATTCTAAATTATTAATGAAACAAATATATAAGTATACGTATATACAAATAAATTTACGATACTTATGATATATGGTTAGTTACGATACAAAAAAAGAAGATATGTATATACATTTAGTAACAATAAAAATAAATAAAATAGTCTACATAATACTAATCATTCAAATAATTGTAACATTTTATGAATAGGTCAATAAGGCAAACAAAATTTGAATAATAGACTTTTATAAGAGGAATAAAGATTGATAAGTTATGAGAGAGCACTGATTTTTGTTTATTGTTATATTTTTATGTTGTTAATGTAATTCCATATATATAAATATGATGCTGGACACCGAAAGCTTCTCCTGATACAAGACGTTAAATAAATAGGTGTAATGATACTGTCGTATTGTATCTAATCTGAATAACATACAGTTCTTTAATGCAAAAAAAAAAAAAATACATACTCCAATACAGAGTGAAATCAAAAATTGCTGCACTGTAAAATCACTTTATTTTTTCAAAATATACTTATACTTACCTATATTTTATGCTTCATTAAAAAACGTTCTTAACTCTAATTTTCTTAAAATCTTATTCATGATAATTATCTGTGTGTTAAAAAGAATATAATTATTTGTTATCATAACTTATTATATATTTATGACTGTTCAAATTGTTTTATAAGCAATATTTTTAATTTTTAATTTTATTTTAAATATTTTCAGGTGGTTTCGCTATAGTTTTTTTGGTTAAAGGCTCTAATGGAAAAAAATTTGCTCTCAAACGAATGTATGTAAATAACGAACATGATTTATGTATTTGTAAAAGGGAAATTCAGATTGCTGTAAGTATATATTTATTTTACATATAAATTTTATTTTCAAATAATTATTTCATATTTTTTAGTTTGCCATCAATGTGTCTAGCAAACAAATAAATAGTAAATAGGAATGTACTATGTATTTTCTCCTACGTGTCAATTATGACTATAGTTAGGAAACAAAATTATCACTCACTTGTTTACATTGTTATCAAATGAATCCATAAGCTTAATGGAGTCAAGGTGTTTTTTTTTTTGTTTTTTTAAAGGTGAATTCATTATGATTAGCTTTTAGTTATTCCAAAATATATTTGTTTGTTTTATTTCTTTGTAAAAATATAGGTGTTTCTGAATGTATGTCATCAATTATTTTCTTGAACTGATTAATAATATATATATATATATATATATATATATATATAGATATATGTTTTATTATAATGTGTGTGTGTGTGTGTGTAAAACAATTCTACTAGCATTTATTACAAAAGTCTTTTCCATATGAATTATTTGGGAACATTTTTAAGTTGTCTATAAAAATGTTAGTAACATTATAGCAACTTTTTTTTAAGTTTGTGTTTTTAATAATAATACCTAAAGTAATAATTATTTTTTATCTTAACTTGTTATTATATATTTATGACTATCCAAATAGTGTTGTATACAATTTTTTTTTATACTGTTTAGTTATTATTTTAAATATACTTTTTCCTTTTATTTATTATTTTCAATGTGATTGTTTTTCCTAAAAATATCTTTTTTAAGTACATCAGGTTTTTTTTTTTTAAATTGAATAGTTGTAATTAAATTTTATTTAATAATAAATTTATTTATAAATGTTTTTAGCACTTTATAAGACTTAGTACAAATATGAAAAGTTTTAAGAGATATTACTGATTGTTTTCATGCCTTAACTTGCTATCTCCATTCTCGCGGGACATGTGATATATTTGGAACTTAACAATAATCAAGAGCTGATGGTTTTTAATTGTCACATATTGCAGCTAACTGCTCCCTCTTAAATTCTTAGCTAAAGGCCGTTACAATCAAAACTAAAATCAATTGCTCTTTATCTTATATTAATTAATTTGATTTTTATTTATCTAAATATATATATATATATATATATATATATATATATATATATATATATATATATATATATATATAAAGTAATTAACAATTGCTTTACTGTTTACTAGACAATATTTACTGTGTATGGAAAATATAGCTTATCATTTTTAAAACCATTTAATTATATATATATTTTTTTTTTATCATCATGCAACTACACTACAGATGTCCCATTATTAGAAAAACTTCCTTATTTAATAAGAAATATATGATTTTAAAAAATGTATATATATATATGGGTTTGTAAATATAATTATACTTGTATATATACTTTACTTTTTGAAATATGGTGAATTCATATTAATTTCAGAAAGTCATTATAAACTAGTGTATTCTGTTAAAAAAAGATAATTACAATAAAAATTAAATGAGATGTCTTTGAGAATAATATTAAGAATAACTGCTCTTTTGAAAAATTAATCTTAAATAAATCCTGAATGAATCTTTAATGCAATGAGTAAATAAAATGGTTTAATGTAAAAATAAAATTAAGAAATACATTTAAACACACTTGCAAACCAAACAGTTAATTGAATTAGGTTGTTTTTAAAATTCGTGTTTTTTTATTAACATAGTATAGTGCATACTCCGCGTCAAAATCATAAAGAATTCCTTATTATGTAATTTGTACGATAGTAGAATCTAAGTTAAAAGAAGAAAAAAAAACAAGATAAACGGATCAAATCTATAAAGATGCTGGAAAGCTGCATGCAGATAACTGGAAAGTAATAGCCCAAGATTGGCATCTAGCAAGGCGAGCAAACATCTACAAGCTCTGTTAAGACAACACAAAAAATAAATAAATAAACCTTGATTTTCTTCTTGGATTTCTTCCAATTTGATGGATTGGAATTTCTTAAATCAGTCGGAAACTGCTTCTTTTACGTATTTTATTTTGTTTGTTTGTTATAGTTTATATCAAAGAGAACCGAAATCATTCTAAGATGTTTCCAATCATTGGTAAATATTAAATTCCTGAGAGATAAGAAAGAATTGCTTATAAAGAATAATAAATATGTATTATTTATTATAATTATGTGATACTATATCACAATCATTTGAGACTTGGCCTGCTACAGCATAGATCTCCAGTTTTATCATTGGCTACCGTCCTCCAATTCTCAATATCAAGTATTTTTCTTGAATCGGCAGCAATAATGTCTCGCCAATGCAGATATGGTCTTCTGACTCGTCTGTTTCCAAATAGAGGTTCATTCGTAACTCTGTGGGGTTGCTTTATGGTCCATCCACACGACATATCCTGTCTAGCGCAGCCTTGAGAGTTTAATGAATTGGCACACATCGACATCGTTGAATAATCTCTTTACTTTCATATTTGTCCTCCTCCAATTATGTGGCCCTCCAAATATATGTCGCAGAATCCTCCTTTCAAATCTCAGGAGGATTCTTTCAGCACTCTGGTCAGGGTCCAACTCTTACAGCCATATGTAAGAATTGGCCTGATAAGTGTCTTGTATAGTCTGATATTTTGATTTGCTTTGTCAAAATGCTACTACGAAGATGCCTTTGCAATTACCTTATATGTTTAATCATAGAAAATTGATAAACATCTTTTATATACTGACCAAACGAACAGCAAAAAAGAAATTACCAGAAACTGAAAATTATATATGTGATAATGGAAACAATATTTCCCAAAACATAAACATGATGTAACAGTAGTCCATTTAAAAAAAAAAATTTTTTTTAGATCTTTGTTATAATTTAGAATAAAAAAGACATAAATAAATAAAACACTCTCTCTGTTGGACTTAATAAATTATATTTGTTTTATGTAGAATTTAGAATAGAATAAATAAACTCTGTAAAATAAATATATAAAGCTTTACTAGAGTTATAAACAATGTTCATCTAGAACCATTTTTTCTTAGCCAAAAAGTCGTTAACTGACCTTTTAGAGGATTAAATCTCTTAACTCTGACTTTTCTCTCTGTGAAATTAAAACATTTTGCAATTAATTTAAGTTTTTTTGTCACATATTAGGGATAGTATTCTTTTGTTGCACTCCATGAGATTTTTGCATTAATAAAAATGGTCGAAATTCACAAATATGTGCTTAAAAATCTAGCTCCATCAGAGATATACTTTGTAAATTTCTGCAATAAACCGATATTTTTGATACAATTCTGGTTTTATCTTTTTTTTGTTGTCTTATCATAGTTTTCTATTTTCTGCATAATCGGGTTTCCAAAATAGAAGTATAAGAAAAAATACTTTAATTCTCTTATATAGTGTCTGTCGAATAGTTTATTTAAAGCTGTAGAGAATATGATTAAATGTTCTGGAAATAAGTATAGAATTACTATTTAACAGCTATAATAATAACAGCGTATGGCAAGCTATTATTATATATAGAAAGCATTATCATGTATAGTGATTTTCTTGAACATTCACTATAAAAATGAGTTCTCACTTTAATTCCTCTATCATCTGCATTATGAATTTTTAATTTCATAGCACATTAATATGTTATTGGATAAGTTTTTACTAAGGGCTTTAGAATTACCGCCCCCTAAAATTTTATTATATTACTTATGTTTTCCAATAGAATTCAAGATGTTAAGATTATGTCTTACAGATTTATAGTTTTACTTATCTTTTAAATATTTACAGAACATTAATGTTTCAAGACTTTCATAATTGTTCTCAGGAGGCTAGGATTTTCATAATAACTTTTAAGATTTTGATTTAAATGATGATTAATTTTTTTTTAAATTATTGTTAATTTATTATATAAAAACTGCTTTTATTTGTTTCAGAGTAGTTTAAGCGGCCACAAAAATATCATTGGTTACGTAGATTCTAGTATTACTCATACAGGAAATGGAGTTTATGAAATTCTACTACTCATGCCTTATTGCAAAACACAAGTCTTACAACTTATGAATGCAAGGTATTGAAGTTTTACTGACTTTTATAAATGGTCATAATATGTGAATTATTAGATTAGATTAGATGACTTATTTTATGGAGCCTGTTTCAATAAATGCGCCTATTATTTATATTGTAGGCTTCAGTCTGGTTTTACTGAGCAAGAAGTCATGACAATATTTTGTGATGTATGTGAAGCTGTTTCGAGATTACACCATTGCCAAACTCCGATTATTCATAGGGATTTAAAGGTAATTTTTGTCTATTTATTCCTTATTTTTGCATTACCTATTTACTATTAATTTTTTCTTTATTTTACCCCGTACAATGTCATTCCTTAATACAAGCCAAGAGGTAATAGTATAGATAGCCTATGCCATAGACAAAATGAAGGTGGGAAGAGATGGCACTATCCCAGAATTCATCCAATAGGGCGGCCCAAAAACTACCGCAAGCCCTATAACGGCTGTTTAAAAAAACATAGGATTTCAGAAGAGTACCAGAATATTTGAACTGTGAACATTTGAAGTGTTATAATTCCTATCTAAAAGAAGGGTAGCCTGTTTTTACCTAGTAGAATACATAAATTATAAACCGTTCAGTCTCCTGTCGGTTGTACATTATAATATTTCTCTTATATTTTTTAACTAGTAACCTTGGAAGATCACTTCATATTGGGATACTTCCTAAATAAATAAGAAGTTGTTAAATAATAAACAAAATTATAAGAATATTAAATTGTACTTTATAATTAATTTATCTCAGGTATGGGTTACTGACAATTAGCTCAAAACACTCAGACAAACTAAAATTGACTACACTAAACACAGTTTGATTTTAAAATACAGTCAAGTATGAATTGACAAGCTAACCTCTTTTCTTCCTTTGTGGCACTGAATTCATTTGTCTTCAAACATTTTCCAAAGTCCTGCCAAACACATCTTCCAAAATGATAACACTTTCATCTACTTAACTCAAGCTCCCTGGGAGATCCTCTCTCTTCTATTTCCAAACAATTAATGACTGCCAAACAACCACTTCCAAGATGGTTATACTATTCCCGGGTTTTACCCACTGGATCCAGGATCTCTTCTCCCATCCTCTCTTCACCCCATCCTAACGCCAACCGCTTGCCAAAACAAAATCCTTTGCCCCCTCCCCTCTTTGGGATTTTCCTATTTGGAGAAACTACAGAGCAGCTATTTTCTTTTCTCTGAACTAGTATAACTAGATTAGCTTACCTTTTAACTGTTGAACATTAATTTATTAAACCATTTTTACCAACTTCCAATTAAGGTGTATATTACAATGTAAATAATACCCAGCAATTTGGAAAGAAGACTAAAGACAAATTATGGAGTTCAGCAAATTCATTACTGTAATAAAAGCAACATATAAAGGGGTTAGTTTATCCTGCTACATTCCGGATAGATAAAGAAGTCAGGCAGGGCAATAGCTTAAATCTTCTTCTATTTATATGTTTTGTGTACGAAATACGTAAGATATGTTAGAGGAGATCATCTCCAACATTAATTGGATGATGGAACATGCATCATATTGTCCTCCTCTAGAGCCTACTGCACGCTGTCAATATAGTTCTTCTGATATAAACAAGAGAAAAGTTACAATAAGCTCTTGTTGAATGGAAAAGGAATTCTATTGGAATGGAATAGCGGTAAATACAGCTAAATGCAAAGAATATAGAAAAATCAACTAAGCTTCACATTTACAGAGCAATGTACCTCCAAACATTTACATATGAAATTGAAAGTTGGGTCTTGCTCGACAAGCACATCAGCCAAATCATTGGATCAAAAATGGTCAGTAAAACAATGAGAGAGAGAGACCTTGTTTAGGAGGTGTGTAAATTAAGTAATGAGTGATTTTTTCTAACTTCTTTATTGAAATAAAATTACAAATTCACTTTGATTCCTTAAAAGTAGCTATGTTGGGAAGCCACACAGTGCTGGGAACGATTCTTCCATTCCTCATAGCAGTATTGGAACTCGGATCCTGGAATAATAGCCTTCAGTTGGTTGATTATGGCTGTTTGAATATTTTCGAATGTCCCAAAATGTCATCTCTTGAGGTGGTTTTTTAGTCTTGAGAACAGAAAAAAGTCACTTGGACTCAAGTCGGTTGAATAAGGAGGCTGCTGAGGAGCCGCAGGAATGTTTTTACTGGCCAAAAACTCATCGACAGCAATCTTGTTGTGACAAGGAGCATTGTCGTGACGCCACACCCATATGTTGGTTGGTATCATGCATGATCTTTCGAAGTTTCTCAAGAACTTTTCAGTAAAAATGTTGATTAACTATTTGGCCATAAGACACAATTTTTTGTGAACGATTCCTTGGCTATCAAAAAAGCAAATGCATTTGATTTTTGACTTGCTCATCCTTCCTTTGCCTTAAACCATCTAAAAATGTGGACTCTCGACAAAACACTGTCTCCATGGGCCTGAGGCAGTTGTTCAAATGTTTTTGTTGCACTTTTTCCAAGTCTGGAGGAGAACCTAATAGTACAACATCGAAATTGATGTCACTCTTTTTTAGAATGCACTAAAATAAATAACCTTTCTCACAAAAAAAATTCACTACGTACTGTGCAACAACTGTAGAGTGCTCAAACTTGTACTGGACGCATATTAGATGTTTACTGGCCTATCTTTCCATGTGCTGCGTCCCCAGTGTTGTCAAATAGAACACCAGAAAATCAATCTCATTACTCAATTTACGCATCTTGTACGTGTGTCAGATTGTTCGGACATTTCTGTCATATAGAAAAAGAATGGCTACCCTGAAGGATTTTGGAAGCACACTCCTCTGGGAAGATCAATCTAACAACCCAATTGGACAGAAATTGTTATTCTATTCTGTTGCCAAGTTCAAGTAATGAAAGAATCTTCCTGTTTAGCCTTGGTGAAGAGAAGGCAACTTGATAATTGTGACAAAAACTATATACATGAATATTCAGAAATTTATATTAATTGTTTTTAAGATAATTATATAATTTTAGTATTCTGTGGTGCGATTTAATTTTTATATATGTTTTTAGGTGGAGAATATTTTAGTTGGTGACAATGGGCAGTATGTGCTTTGTGATTTTGGTTCTGCTACAGGCAAGGTGCTTTCATCGAGCACACACAATGCCGCTACTATACTTGAAGAAATAGAAAAATATACTACGCTATCGTATAGGTCTCCTGAAATGGTTGATGTATATTCTGGGAAATCGATTACTACTAAGGCTGATATTTGGGTATGAATAAATAAAAATGAAAGTGTTTACTTGAAGTTTGTATTGAAGCTATGATTTTTCTCACACTATAACTAATTATTTTCCACATTAATCGGGCTTATGTTTTTTAAACTTAAAAACTCAAATTTATCTACCGATCTCGAAGTATTTCTAAATAAATAGGCATTCTTTTGATTTCAACTTGTACTATGTGTGATTATTAAAGTTATTCTCAAAACCTGAATTATATCAGTAAATATTATATTGTAAATACTTTTTTTTTTTCATACGCCTGTTGGCTTCAACTTTTTAAGACATAAGTCTTCTTCAGCTGCCTGGGGCTGTTGTAGGTGACAGTAGTGATTGTTTGGTTGTCTCTTCTTGGAGATATCCAGGGAACACATGGTTCTAATAACTGGACACGTTCACATTTCACTCCCTCTTCTTAAGGACCTTTCCTGCAGGATGGTTGGCAATGTTTTGTTTCAATCTTCCACCTAGTTTTTTATGGGAAAGAGGATCATCAGCCCTATACCCAACCACAATCTTGAGGACTAGGAGCTATGGTTTAAGACACAGGGGTTGCTCACCTCCCTATAAATCTCAGGATGGGGACGTTAGCGTCTCCATGCGGGAATTGAACCCGTGCTGTAGTGTAGTTGTCTTAAGTAGTCGAGTAGGGGGCATACACTTAAATATTTTAATTTATTATTAATTTGTTTGTGTCTTATTGATTCCCGTGAACGGGTTTTGAACACTTGATATACAATTTTTTCAGGCACCTTAACTCGTTCCGCCACCGTGGCCCCATATTGTAAATACTAATTTGAAGTACCTCATAGAAAAGAAGTAGTTATATTCTTAAGGTTTTACTTTCTGCTCTGTCTTATTTATTATAATTTTTTTTTTTTGAATGCTAAGTAGAACTTTACTTAGCTGTCAGTAATAAGAAGATAAAAAATCTTCTTTTTAAAAAAAAAAACAAAAAAAAAATATAATAATAATGTTCTTCATAAAGTTAACTAGTTTCAGCATGTCTCAAATATTATTTTTTTTTTCCTCTAAACAAAAAAACATTATTTGTGGTAAATCAATCTTGAGATAATCTTTGTGACTGACACTGGTCTGGTACCTCTTTGATTTATTTATATATTTATAATTATTTATATTATTCTGAAAAATAGGCTTTGTATAATGAAGTTAGGCATTGTTTGATGAAATTAGATAAAAAGTCAGTTTTAAAATTATTAAGCTTATACTCTTGTTAAAATTTGATTTATTGATTTAAAAAAAATATAATTGTAACAATTTGTTTTATAAATTTATCCATAAGGCAACCTGAATCTACTATTATTTTTACAGGCTCTGGGTTGTCTCTTGTACAAGTTGTGCTTCTTTACGCTACCTTTTGGCGAGAGCACTCTTGCAATTCAAAGTGGACAGTTCAGTATTCCCGAGAACTCGAAATATTCTAGTGGGATCCATTGCCTTATAAGTAATTACATATTTTATTTCATCTTTATTAATAACTGTTTGTCTTAAAATTTCATGTTTAGAAAATAATTAACATTTTTTTGCTTGTTATTTAATAAGTAATTAATGTACTGATTTCATTATTTATTATTTTATGGATGTTTAATTTTATAATTTTTTTTTTATAACTTATTATTTTTTTTTGTATAGAATTCATGCTTGAGCCTGATGCAGAAAAGAGGCCAGACATATACCAAGTATCGTATGTGGCATTTGCTCTTGTCGGGAAGGAGTGTCCTGTTCAGAATTTACATGTGAGAAATAAATTACTTATTTTTTATTATTTACTTAGTATTTCATTAAATACAATGATACATGAGTCAATTTTTTTGACATAATATTTTTATTTGGTTCACACATGTGAATAATGTCGTTAAGTGAAGGATAGATAAAATTAGGGGATATAACAAACTCTTGTGACATTTACATTATTCTCATTTAATTTTTTTTTAAACTTATTCTGTGAGTTTGTGCCTTAAGGCCAAACTTATTATTTGAGAAAATAGAAGAAAATAAATTTCTTAATAATGATGAAACTAGATATAAAAAACAATGATTCACCTTTTGGTTAGGCACAGCAGTGAAACAGGGTATGATGATGATGGTCAGACAATAGATAATGTTTACTATTTGATAGTGGAAGATCCTTTGCAAGATTTATGTATTGTCATTTGCAAAAAAAGGGTACAAAATCAAGGTACAATTAGGAATTTAAGCGAATATTCTACCCTTCTTCAAAGTCAGATGGTTGGGAGAATTTGAAGAGAATGGTACCAGATAGATTGCTAAAAAGTAATGGAGGAGCAGGACAGTCATTAAGAGAATGTTGAGGCTGATCTGAAGTGGAATAGAGTTAGGATGTGGAGGGCTAGACCAAGAGGAGTGACTACACACTGTTGAGGAGGACAAAATGGTCAGCACCAAGAAGATAAATTGATATAAAAAAATATATTTTATTTACCTTATCAATTTTTTTCTTACTCTCTTTAGTAAAACCCAAAGAGTCTATTTACTTACTTAAACTTGTTTAATACTATTTGACTTAATAGATTTGATGAACAATGTCAATATTTGTTATCAATTTCATTAAAAAACAGTGTATAAATTGAAAATAGAAAAACTATTTACAAAACATGGGTTTTTAATTAACTATAGTTGTCAATATTTTCTCTCTTATGCATTTTAAAAAATATTTTATTGCATAAAATATTTGTCAAAACTAATTTTAAATAAATAATAATGCGTAAATATGATACAAGTAAGATAAAAGCTTTAGTTCTGGGATTGAAATAATTTTGTTGAATAAATTTGGTTAGCTGTTATATAATTCTATGTATACAACTATTTTCTCAATTGGTCATTTGTAAGCATAAATAATTAAAATTCTAGTAATTGCTGAGCTCACATTTCAACAATATAATGCAACTATTTATTTATTATTATTTTATGTAGAAACATAAATTTAAATAATTAACAATATAAATTAGTTTATAAATTTCCATTTTTTTTTTCATTAAGGATACTGCATACAGTCATTGTTATTCATGATCAAGAATGCATATTCAAATTCTTGGTTATGAAATACCTATATAATAATTTTAAAAACCTACATTAATTTATGCATTTCAGGAATTAATAATTTTATAAATTAATTTCAGAAATCGCCTATTATTAGTTTAGAAGAATTAATGAGTATTCAAGAAAATGAAGTAAAGAAGAAAAAGTCAGTAACACCGAGTAAGACACATTCAGTTCCTATTGTAGAGCCTACTAGTATTACTCCAAGGCAACGACCCAAACCTTCTTCAGCCCAAAAACAACCTGCATCCCTGTTTCCTCCTTCTGGTAATTGAGCTCTCATTATTATTATTTTTTAATGTATATAAGTTTCCTATAAGAAAATCATATTTAAATCTAAGCCGATTGATAGAGCAAACAACGAAAAAGTTATGATATAACTTTCTAGTTGATCGTATTGTACTTAATATATGGAATCAGACTTTTGCTTCCTCACTACCGAAGGTAGGGAAACATTGTATTCATGCTAGAGGTTAAAAAAAATTTTGTGCTCAGAATCGAAAATTTCCACTCGCATTTTACGTTTAAAATATCAAGGATCAAATTTAGTTCAGTATGTATCTGTCTGTCTGCAGTCAAATCGGTGTGACTGCCATATCATCTAATATCGTTCATCCAATTTTTATGAAATTTTCAGGGATTTTGTGGTTTGGTATCTAGATTCTCCCCTATCAATTTTATCAAATTCTATTCTGTACTTCTGCTTACGCATGCGCAAATATATTTTTTTAGATATGCCAATATTTCAGAAACACCTCGTTTGATTAGGCTCAAAGTTGGTTAAGAGGTAGGTATTGTTAAAAAACTAATGTAGTGTCAATTTTATTGAATTCTGTTCACTACTTTCTCTGATATATGCGCAAACGTGTTTTCCTCGGTACATCTATATTTCTAAAACTGCACGTTCGATTTGGCTCAAAGTTGGAGGGAAGTTAGAGATTGGTAAACAGATAATCAAGTATGTATGAATTTTATTAAATTCTATCCACAACTACAAAAAAAAAAAAACAACTTCTGCTTTCAGATCAGGAAATGTATTATTTGACACGCCTATAGTTTGAACACTGCGCTTTCGATTTGACTCAAACTTGGATGGAAATTTAATGAGTGTTATAGAAATTACCTAGTATGAATTGCATTGAATTATATTTAATAATCAAAATTTATATAAATAATTGTTAACAATATAATGGCTGTGATATGTGGAAGGCATTGATCATATGGAGTGATAGTTAGGTTAAGACAATATTTTTATGGGGTTATAAAATTTTAGGTTTTATTCAAAAAGTTAATTTATACTGTATTGTTTGGTCGATTCTAAACGTTACTGGCATGACACTTACTGCCTTCAATTAGATTTTATTTATTTTTCAAAAAATTTAAATTAATTTTCACATATTTTTAGTTAATTTGAGTTATTAAAAAAAAAGTCTTATTTTGTGATTGTGTTTATTTCTTTTGAAGTTCAACCAGCTCTAAGTTATAATATCTAAGTTGTGTGAACTTCATGCATATTTTCATTTGTTAAAAATTTAGTTTGGTTTTGTTTCGACTGAAGAAAAATATTGGTCTCGGTAACTCTGAACAAACAAAAAGTTGAATATTTCCTATAGTTTTTTGTTCCATCCATTTTACGAGTGAAAACATGGCTATTAAGTATATATCACTACTGTAAGTACAAAATGTTGTATGTAAAAATTTTTAACTTTAATTCTATTTGTGCTAAAGGTGACATTTTGTAGTCTGCAACTGATATAAGCAGTCTGCTATGATGGAAAATAGTAGGGGGCAATAAAATATGAAATTATACTATTAAATCATAAAGAAACAATTAGTTCTTATGCTCTCCTGTAAAACCCTCAATTTTTACATACCACCTTTTGCACTAACACTAGCGATATGCATGTTCAGTATGCACTGGAATTTTTTTTCTAATCACTAATCATCAAATATACAATTTGTAAATGCGGAACTCTTTCGCATTTTAATATTCGCTGATGAACAAAACTCGTGAATCACACCTGTATATATTGAGGGATTACTGAATTTTAGAAAACGGCTTCACAGAAATTTTATTCTTATACGAAATATTTTAGACCTTGTAATATAGATATTTTTTATCCAATGAAAACAGTGAGGAAGCTATACTCTTACTGTATAGCTATACTGACCTTATTTGGCAAACATTTTTATGTATGATTTGAGAAATTGCCCTTCTTTTAAGTTTCATCTCTTAAATTTTTATAATTCTTAGATTTGTTAAAGATTATTTTATTTCATAAAAATGTTTATTTATTTTTATTGTAATAGTAATTTTTTTGGGTTTATTATTTTCAATAATGAACCATTGTAATCGACCAAAAAATTCAAAAACTTAACTCCCTTCAAAATTTGTGCATATGTAGAAAATTCCAAACTAATAAAAAGCGTTTTAAAAAAAATCAAAGGTCACCTGACGATGATCCTATATCAACATTACTATCCCGCCTTTCCTTTCAAGATGGTGACTGAAAAACCTGTATTGCTATAAACTGTACTACCTAAAGGTATGTACTGATTTCAATGAAACTTTGCTAAAATCTTTTCCTCGGTGCCCTTAAAATATATGTATAGAACATACTTCAACAAAAAGTACTTCCCTTTCAAAATGGCGGCCAAAAGACTTGTGTTGTATAGATTGTAGCTACTAAACAGATGTACCAATTTCAATGAAACTGGGCTAAAACCTTCTCTTTCGAAATCCTTAAAATTATCTATAGATCAAATTGCAACGAAAAGAAGTTAGATAAAAAGTTATGAGGAAAAAGTTATGAGGGATGGTAAAATTAAATTTCCGAATAACTCAAAAAAGTTACGCTTTTTTTTCATATTACATTGTTAGTTGTTGATATTTGTATTATCATTTCACTAATGATCATTTAAAATTTTATGAAATTTCCTAAAATAAAAAAAAAAAAACATTGAAATCGGACGATTTGGAGTGAAGATATAGTGTTCTAAATAATTTTCATATGTGTTCAACTGCTATTATATCCTTGCTTTTGGTTTTTGATTTTTTTGTAAGTGTTATCAACTGAAAAGGGTGTGGGGGAGGTCAGTGGTAGGGTACTGAGCTTCCAATGCTAAAGGTCCCAGGTTCGAATCCCGGCTCATGGTAGAAAAATTATTCATTCGGTTTCATTGCCGTGACGCAACCTTGGGTGGTATACCCTCCTAGGGCACACTCAGCCTCTATAAAGTGGGTACCTTAAATTAAAATAATTAATTAACCCAAGACCTTAGCAAACTACTGATGATGAAATAAGAAAATGATTTAGGTCAATATTATGAATCACTTTTTATTTATTTTTATTTATTACTATGAAAGTAATGTTACTTTTGATGTATAATTGTTTGGAAATAATAAACTATTGTGTAATAATTTGCAGCTTTTTGTTTTATTTATTATTCTAATTATGCAATTTTCTTAATTTTATATCTTAATCTTTTGATGTATTCTGACTATTATGTTATTCTATGGAGAGTTCTTTTTCAGACATCCAACATCCTTGCCTTTTCAATAATTTAAGGCTTTTTCACTCAATAAAGCAGTTTCTATCAATTCTGTGGTGAGACATTTCTACAATGGCGGTTTTAAAAATTATATTTGTCTTGACTATATGTGTCTAGTATCATTAGAAAACTAATTGGTCTTTGTCTGTACTATAAATTTTATTTTATGTTCTGTCAGCTACGGTTGATAGACTCTCCTAGGACATAGCCTATCAATTATGAGGATACGTGACATTCAATGGTTTGATTAGACCAAATTGCCTCCTTTCATAATCTTTCATCAAGAAATAATGCTTATAAAACTCTACTTAAATCCAAGGCCCTTCATGAGATGTAGTTTTTATTTTTATTTTTTATCAAAGTGGAAATTATAATAAAATAGCTGAAGTTTTTACTTGGTTAATCTGTCTTTGTATTGATTTTTTTTTTGGCTATTCATTTCGATTCCTCTTATTAATTTGTTATTTATAATTTTTTTTTCATGTAGGATTTCCTGATCCGTTTAGAGAAGATTCCGGTAGCGATCACGACTCTCAAACTACAAGTAACTCACCAAGGCACCGCAGAAATGTCAGCGATACATCAGCTTTTAATAAGTAAGGTTTTGTTTCAGAATATTGTTTTATTTTTCAAACTGATGGATAAAACAAAAAAAAATACTCTATAATCTAGCCATTTTCTGGTATTTTATTCTTATTTCTATGTTGCTAAGACATTTTCTCACAAAGCTGATCCTGTGAACATGAAATATATCGATCGGACTTTGAAAATCTTTTATAATAATAAACTCTTTTTCCGAAAATTTAAAATATTTTCTTCTAGAATATATATACTTCTTTTATATAAGTAATTTAAGAGAACTATTTATTACACACTACAATATATTAATCTATATTATTTGTTTATTAAATTGGTTGGTTGTTACATGATTTAGGCTCAAAATATTAGTATGAACCTACTCACGTAACGAATAGATACCTTATAAAAAATATTTGTTTGCAATTTAGTCAATTTTATATGTCACAGTAGCTGGATATGCCAACTCGAAAATCGTTATTAAATTGTACTCGCTTCGGCGGTACTAAAATTGATCAAAGTTGATTTCTTTAATTTAAGCTATTATTCCAGAAGATATAAGTGATTGATTATTATATAATTAATTGTAATAATTAGCCTCTTTTAATGTTGATGATTATTTTATTTACAGTGGCAAGAATTTTACAAGATTAGAAGGAGCGTTTGTTTACGTTTTCTAGTATGATGATAGAATCTATTGCCTGAGATATCTACTAAAATATTAACAAAAATTGTTTTTAATTTTGAGCTTTGCATGGGATATTAATGGTTTGACAGTAACCGTTTTACCAGAATTAAATCACAAACATACTGATTTAATTTTTACGGAATTTTATTATTTGTAATTACCTCAATTGTACAGAAATGTGAATAAAAGTATGATCAGTTTCATTTTTTATTTTTACCAAATGATAGACATTTTAACTTGATCCATATATTTGAAAGTGATGTTAGATACAGGTATTTTGTTCATTATTATTTCTTAGTGGTAGGTTCAGTAAAAAGATCTATTATGGTGACAAAATAAAAAAAAATCATCTTACACAATTTGTTCAAATTTATGTGATGTTAAAAATCTTTTTAAAATTTCAGTACTTTTAAAAAGATTTTAAGGCAACATCCTTCCCTCCTCTTTATTTTAATTTTTTTTAGATGAGGTGGGTAGGTTCTTTGTTTGTTGAGATGGATAATCGTAAAATATTTGATGATGAACTTAAGAGATCCCAGCTGTTATTGTAAAGGATCATCGATGATGGGTTTGGTTAAATCTTGAGCGAGCAAATAATTTTAATAACCTCTAATAATGCCAATAAATATAATTGCCATTGAGCCGTATGTTTATTGCTAAAAATGAAAAATGTCTGGATAGCAATTTCCCCTATATACTTTTGGATCCACGTGACTACTTTCCAAATTCCAGATTGTGTGATTGATGTGATCTTGTGTCCAGCCTTCTTATAGAAGTAACATTTTGGGACGTCTGCATTATTTACCCATAATAATGTTACACTTAATTTTTCTTTTTAGTGTATCGTCTTATTTTAGATGTTTAATTTTTTATTTAATATTTTTATTTCATGAATAGGAAAAAGATCCTAATTAAGAAAAATAATGTTTAATTGTACATATTCGGTAGACATTAAGTTGTTTACAAGGTAATAGTGTTTAAAGACTAATTAATAGAAGCTTATTAGCCAACCTTTAGTCCGAGGCAGCCAGACAAGACTCGATTATAAACAGTCAAGCGCAGAGAGCCTAAGGAGACTGTTGTGATTCAAGCACAGTTAATGGCTTCACTGGATTTTATTTCTCCTCAATTTTTAAAGAATCAGATCGAGAGGAACTGATACAACACCCGGAAAGGGATTTGATTTTGAGGGTAATGAGACTGAAAATTTGGCTTAACAGAGATGCTCTGTTAGAAGACAATGCTGCATTTCGACGTTTGGGGCCCCAACGTAACTAACCGATAAGTCAGAACAGTTTCTCTTTTTCTTAAATTTTTATTATTATTTTATTTTTATGGTATATAGTTTTTTTTTATTTTTTGTTTGGTACTAGGTTTTTTTAATTTGAAAATTTTCATCGTTTTATTTTAAAACAACGTGGCGCCCAAGTTTTACAGATTTTCTATTTTTCTTTTCTTTAATAAATATTACTCCAATTTATTTATTTATTATTTTTTTTCTTGATGAAAACTCTCTTCCCTTTCCCTTCTTCACTGAGCTGTAGGCAAATTTAAAGGTTACTGCAGATAGAGATAACAATATAGGAAATGAACCTACATTTCCTTTTTAAAATTCTTGCCTATACTAAAGCCATACATGGAATCCATCTGAGCTATTTATGCTGCTTAAAGTTTTAAATGGATTTCTCGTTTATTATATTTGTTTAATATTTAAGTTAGTTGTTATGCGATAAAAATAAAAAAAAAAATGATAATTCAAAACAGTGTTTATTGGTATTCACATTTAAATTGTTCTGAGTATAACAATACTTCTATTGACAATGATTTTAGGGATTTTTATATTTATATATTTTTCTTATCTGTGACCTGTTATAATCTTGAATTGGGAGCTTATGATGGTAGAGAGTATTTTGACATTACCTTAGCAGCATGTATAAGAAGTGGAGCAGTGCCAATTCAGTTCTGGCCTATAGGGTTAAAATTTATTTCTTGTTGGATTTATTTATCACTCTAGCTAAAATTGATTGGTAACCCACAGAATAATTGTGTCTTCCTATACTAATTTGAGTACATAAAAATTCCCAATAAACAATATTTTGGGCTGTGGTTCATTGGCGTTTTTCGTCATACCAAATCAAGATGTCAGACTTTTAAAGTTTTAGAAATAAACTTCCGTAAAGGTTTTCACTTATATATTTTTTATTTATTGGAAAAATGTTATCGAATTAAGCTTCCGATTCTCTTGAGGTGTACTATTCTCATTAATCTTCAAAATAATTTATTGATAAATAATAATATAGCTTTTGATGATTAATTATTATTCAGTTGTGCATACTGTATTTTATAAAAGTTTTGAACAAATTTGTATAGTAGAAAGGTAATTTCTACTGCATAGCTTGCATTATTTATAATCATGTTTGATTTGGATTGTATATTATGAAAATAGAAATTATTTTGTTTAAAAATGATTTTAAATGTTAGAAAGAGATTGTATGCTCATACTTCATTCAATGCCTTGTTTATTTCGACCTTTGATTGAGTGGCATATCATCGTTTTCAGAGAAATTTTCTTCTGAAAACTTATTACCTTGAGTTCGATTCAGTTTGGAGTTCATTGCATTTTTGCAAATTTTATTTTTCTGTTGTTAGAGTTTTTGCTTCGGAGACGACACAGTTCTTAGCCCCTTATGAAGCTTCGAAACCAAAGGATCAGGACTCCTCTTCCGCTCCGGATTCTCAGTTACTCGGCCCTTCTTCGTCTCAGGTATATAATGAATCGCCAGTATAATTATAAATATATGGTAAATATATAAAGACTATTTTAATCAAAACTGGTATATTTTGTTAATATTAAGTTTTTATTTCCAAAGTTAGGATTACGAACTCATTGATATTATTTTTTCTTACTGTTCATTAAATTTTTTTATCAATTGTATACTTTTTATAAATAATAATTTTGTTTAACTTTAATCTTTCGTTTTCACTATTTCTTTAAAAGATGCAAATTATAAATTACACTAAAAAATAGCGTCAAGAGAAAATTCATCAAGTTCTTAATAATTTGAAGTTATGAAATGTCACTTGAATGACTTTTTGCAATTAACCGATAATATATTAGTAAATTCATGATGATTTTATTATGAAACTAGCAGAACATTTTAAGGTGTTTCTTTCATTTCTTTGTAAGTAATCTTTTATCTGTCCTTATTCAACACAATTTTTTGTTTATATCATACTTTTATCACCCAATTTTATTACTACTTTATCTAATTAATATCCATTAGGTTTAATGGTTAATAAACTGGTTATTAAATGTTTAACCTTGAAGCCTGACGGTTTTATTTAAACAGCTGTTGGGTGAATGAAACCAAGCCAAACAAAACAAAATGTTGACATGAAACTTGCTAATTTTGCCACGTGAACACAACTTCTAGCTTTGAATACTGATTACAAGTACTGTATTTTGATTAAATATTTTTTTTCTGTTACGTTCCATTATTTAATAATGATATGGAAATACAACATGGAGCTCTAATGTTTTTACTTGTAAGCATTTTGACTAATCTAAACTCAATTTTTTTTTTTTTTTTTTTTTTTTTTTAAATCTGCATGGATTGAATCTTAACTGACTACTGCTGCATTCACTGAATGTATTGGTTTTATTTAATATGTTTGCTAAAATTAAAATGGTTATATTGTAAATATTGTTTTATTATCTTCTGGAATAATTAATTCTTCAAGTTCATTGGCCAACAATTGCAGATAAATTTCAATATATTAAATGTTTTGCATATTTGTTTTAGAAATAATTCTTTACATCACCATTTCAAAATCACTCTTTTTTGTTAAATATATATATATATGACATTATTTTTCATTTATTTTTTTTACTGTCCATCACCATTATTTATATTAGAATTTCCTTTACTATACAATATAAGTTTTTATATATAAAACTTTTGTTAGGAAACTTGAATTTTTATTAGAAATTTTATTCTACTTTTCAAGATATAGTAGAATCCCAAAATCTAATAAAAAAAAATAATTGAAAATCCGTCTACTTGTATTATGTTTATGGCTTATCTCTGAGCCTATTGAGCCGATTTTTCGGCTTTAAAGTCTTTGGTCACTGCCAGAAAAAAAAAATTATTTTTTTTTTAGGCAAGCTTATTATTTCTGAAGAAATAAGGCTCCATTTGGACATAATGAACCCTTGTTTTTAGTGTTATAGTAGAGTTTATGATCATCTTAATTTCTTCTTAGTTCTTAGATTTTCAGGGAATATTTAAAAATCGATTATTCTTATAACATAACTGAATTAATTTTTAGGGCGATGTAGCTACTGGTGAAGATATACGCTGCCAGTCAGCGACTACTGCTCCGCCTCACTGGAATCCTTTTTACGAAAGTGAGCCATTCTCGAGTGTAACAGAGGATCAAATTTTCGGAGCAGAATTCGATAAAATTCAACGTGGATCACAATCAAGTATGCATTATTCATTATAACAGACATTTTATTCTTAGCCAGGACATTGTATATTAATAAATTTAATGTAGAATTTAAAAAACTACTATAACATTCGTAATGAACTTAATTTGGTTTGGCTGACGCTTTGCTAAGTAAGAAGGTGCCTCGTTCTTTTTCTTTCCCTATGATAGGGATGTCCATCGATAGTCGAAATATCGATATTTGCCTTCGATATTCGATATTTTACCATCCATAGTATCTACATTGATATTATCAACTATCAATATTGGGTGTCGGTTGGCTGAGTGGGCTAATGCATCTGCACAGCAGTACGTTTTTGTGAACTTCATCTTTGTTGTTTGATAAAACACTGTAGATACATGTAAATGACTTCCTTTTTATATATCACATATTATTACAAGTGAACAAGTTGCATCTGCACAGCACCACAAATTTCCAGGCAACCTGATAACCGAATTTAGATGAGAAAATGTTACCAGTTCAAATCCCGGTATACGGTGAGAATTTTAACTCGACATAATTCTACCGCCCCCTCTCCCGGATCGGGAAAAATTCCGTGTAGCCTAAAAGGCCAGGAAGGGAAGAAAAAACTATCAATATTGTCCTTTCAATATTTTAATATTTTATTTTGAAAATAAAAATTGAAACTTTTTTTGATAGTGATAGGAATTATATACGAATCTGATCATTAGAAAAACATTATACTCTTCTTGCCTGTTTCACATGTAATGTAGTGCATAGTAGAGGAAAATATCAATATTTTAATAATATCAACTATTGGTAGTCATCCCTAAGTACAGTTGAATAGGGCGCATGGGACACTTTTCACTCAGTGAATTTAATTTGCCCAAAATTTCTTAGTTAAAAACTTCTCGAACCAAGGCCTCAAATTGTAAAAGAAATCTATGTTGGATACAAATAAATTATCATTTCACTAAATCCGATCTGTGGGTGAATGAAAGGCGTAATTGGTTGAACGGAAATTTTTGGAAAAAAGCAGAGTATGACAAAGATGGAGAGGAACTAGAAAATTAATTTTACTAGGGTAGAAGAATTGATATTACCATTAATTAATTTAATGATGAAAATAACATCTTTTTTCATGCGCCTATATGCTAGAGAATCAATATTTTTATATTCATATTCATATTTCACTAGTGTTTATAATATCAATGAAACTATCGACTATTGATATTTTAATACTATCGATAGTCATAAGCCGATATTAATATCTATGACAATCCCATACCCAACACAAAATATTTTATTAATACTATAAGAAGATAACCTCAAATAATTTAAATTAGATCAAATTACCAGGTCGGGAATAACTTTTTAATAATTATTATTTTTATTTTATTTTTCCTTCGCCTGAATAACGCTGTTTGATCAGCCATATGCAATCAAGCAGCCCAATATATTTTCGCTATCCTTGCAAAAGGATTTTCAATTTCAGTAAAAGCACTAGTATTATCTCTGCTGGAAATCATGCCCTGTATGCATTTTAAAGTGTGCTACGGATTGCCCACTTGGGGAGTATTTTTGGATCATGCCACTTTCTTCCATCAATCCACTTCATCGCTTCCCTTCAATTTTTTAGACATATTTCTCTTTTAGTATACTTTAGAATTTCTCTTTTACTTTTATTTTAACTGGATCTATGCCAGGAGGAATATCTGGTTGGTTCATTCCAGATCCTATTCTGCCTAGTTTGTCAGACTAGTGATTTTTTAGATAGATAGTATATTTATTGGCTTAAATGAAACTTTACTAGCCATGGTAGTCTGGCCCGATTGGTGATAGTTTAGGTCATTCATGTTAAAACCATACGTATGTTTAACGGAATACACAATCAAACATTATACAAAAGTACAGATAATAATGAGGCTATATTAATTGTATAACAAACAATAGATTAATAATTAAATATTTTCAATACTAAAGTTAGATAAATAAAATTCCCAAAACTAATCCCGACTAAATGCTTAATGCTACTAAGGAATGGTATCACATGAGGCAGTAAAATATATTATTTAACTGTTCAAGGCCCTTAACATCCAAAATAGTTTCCAATGACAAATCATTCTTATTATCAATATAGACTTTTTATAATAGATGTTAAAAACTCATTAAAGCTATTCATTATTAACTACTAAATTTTAACTATAATTAGTTAAGTTAAACAAAATTATTTGTGAAATTAAATATTTTAGTGTTTATGTATCCTTCGAATAAGTTTTATTAGATTTAATTTCAAATTAGTATTTAGATATATTTAAATTTATTAAAAATTGTCTAGCCTTTTCCTTAATTTGAATATATAAATTGATATTTGTTTTATAGGAAAGAAGTATAAAAGAAAATACCCTCCAAAAAAATATTTTTTTATAAATGAAAAAATATAATTATTAATATAAATGAACATATATATATATATATATATATATACACCTGTACCACTACAACCCATGAAGAGTCTTGGGTTCTATTTAGGGAAAGCACTGTTTCTAGGTCAACGGTTGTGCAAGGAGGTGATTTGACCGAGATCAGGCTCAACCGCCAGGTTTTCCCCCTAAATTAATTAAGGGTACCCACTTTATAGAGGCTGGGTATGCCCCCAGGAGGGTTTACCAACCCAGGGTCCCCTACGGCTAATGAAACAGATAAATAAATTTTCTGTCATGAGCCGGGGTTCGAACCTGGTATCTTAAGCATTGGAAGCTCAGTATCCTACCACTGTGCTACCCCACTCTTCATAAATATATATATATATATATATATATATATATATATATATATATATATATATATATATAAATGCTTAAATATAAAATATATTAAAGAGTAAACATACAGAAAAATAAAGCTTTTTGAAATACATATGTATATATTTAATATATATATTAAATATATATATGTATTTCAAAAATTTCAAAAAGCTTTCTTAAATCTTTTCAGGGGATTAGTTTTATTTTTCTGTATGTTTACTTTTTAATATATTTTATATTTAAGCATTTATTTCTACTTTCAAATTTATTTTAATGAAATAATGAAATAAAATACTTTTTTAATAATTAAAAAAATATTTTTCATCAAAATGTTGAAATAAAATTTAAAAATCTAACTAAATTTTCTGATTTTGTAAAAAATTGAGATAGCATTATGTTATCTAACTAAATAGTATTAATGTAGAAGAAATTAGAATTTGTAGTATAGGAAGTTAAATAGTTTGAGAATAGATATGATTAAATTTAAAAAGTTCTTTATTATAATCATTATATCATTATTTTATATCATACCATTATATAAAATAAGTATTAATAACTTTTGTGACATCTATGACTATGATGAGATGGAAAACTACTACACATTTGGACGTATATTTCTCTATTATCGGCCATTTCAAAAACATAAGGCAGGCAAAATATAGAATGTTTACTTTGGAATGACATTATTTCAATCCCATTTGCCCTTTTTCAAGACTGAAACACTCTCTAGTGCCCTTTGTTGTGAACTAAAGTTTTGTGTGCGGAATAGCTTATGACTGATAGAATGAGTTAAGTTTTTATTATTATATGAAACTTTTTTATTCAGTAGTTTTAATTTATTTGTCTATATATATTTTCCTCTCCATGAAATTCGTTGTTTTTTATTTTTTTATTCAATTTTATATCGGTTTTATATTTATAAGAAAGATTTAAAGTTTTATTTCAAATTATTTTCATGACCAGGCAACTAATCAAAACTTTTCTTGTGACCAGTTAGAAAATATTTTGTTTCTTTTAGGAATTTCATGTTTGTATGTGCTATTTTAAAATATTGTTTAGTCTTTGTTTTCATACGCATTTAAATGAATTATTATCATTCGTTATTGACGATATAAAAAATTTTGTTTTACTGCAATATTATTAATTTTTTACATAATTATTTATAAATGAAGAAACAAACATTTTTTTTTATTGTTGATAGTACTAAAAGTATTGTTAGGTTATTATAAAAAGTCAATAATTACATTTTTTTGATATAGGTTAACTTTTGAGTATGTTTTTGTGAAGTTTAACTTTATTTATCGATGAAAATGACATATCCTTGTATATATCACATACTATTACAAATGAACGATTTCCTAATTTGATAAAGGCAAAATTCTTCAAAGCTCTAAATTATTTAAGGTTATGTAATGTCACTTAATAATTTTTTGCAATAAACCAACGATGTATACTATTTTAATGTGTGTTAGAACCTCTATGTATCAAAAACAACACAGATTCCTTAAAATAAATTTGATATATTGAAATCTCGATGCTTAGAAGGGTAGGAATTTTTTATCCTTTTCATACCAAAAACAAAATTTTATTTTTTAATATCAATTTTTAGTGTATTAAATTATTACATTTCAGTACCGCCTTATCAATTTAATCAAACGTTTTAATAACTGACTAAAGGTTTTTATAGCTTATTGGTACCGTTCATGTCATGGAACTTCATGTTTTTTTTTTTGCTATATCTTTATTTGTCATATCGCTTTTTATGTTTTTTATTAAGTTGATTTCATATTTAATGGTTTCTGTTTAGGGCCTATATTTATATCAAGAAAGATAGAGTTAAACTAAATTTAAAATTACCATATCATTCTCTATGATAGAAATGAGAATCAGAGAGAGATTCTGTGGGTGCCGTGATTGTTTGTTCTTCTCTGATTCTCCATTGCCTAATAAATAAGTAAAAAATTATTGTTTTGTTTTTTATTTATTTATTACCACTTTTATAAATGTAACCTAATGACTTTTTGATGAGTTGCATATTTGTATTTATTTAAATAGAAGTTTTTGTTAAATACCTCTATAGAAATTTTATTTGATATTCAGATTATTTTTTTCTAATAAAAATAAAAGTTTTTGGATGCATGGAAGTTCTATCGAGAACTGTATTTATACTATCCTAGGGGTTTACCTCCTGTCCACCTAACGGCAGACCAATCCCATTTTACGAATTATACAACTGTTCATTTTATTGTACTGCTCATTGCTCAAATTGTATAACTGTAATTTACATGTATTCTGTAGTTTGGATTGTATTATTTTTTATCAACTTACAATAAACTGAACGAAACTACAGTTCAGACAAATTTTTAATTTCTTTAAAAATCTATAAAATGCATCACGGCTTATTGCCAATTTATATTATTATATAATTATAATTATTCCTATCGACAATTTGTCACCATAATATATATTCAACTTGTCCAGCTTCATAAAAGACCAACATCAATTTGAGCCTTTTATTTTTAATATTTTCATTGTACCTTATATTGCGCTTCCTTTTGTATTTCATAATAAATATAATTATATCACAATATAATATAAATAATATAATAATTAATATATTGTATTCAAGAGGAAAATGTCTAGATTGAAAAATAACTGCTGTCACCTAGGTAAAATCAACTACCACCCCCAGATGAAAATAACATTTTCCTAACATATGTTTGGTCTAAAATCTTTATTTAGTATTAGGAACAGAAGTTCAATACTGTAACGAAGGCACCAGGGTGTAAATTCCTATTTTTCTCTATTTTGTATTATAGATTAGAGGAGCTCAACACATCTGTAATTAAATTAACAGCTGTATAATTAGTTCTAATAGGAGAGATCCTGTAGTCTCCTACTCTCCTAATACTAAAATAATGAATCACTAAAAACCTTTTTAAATAATAGAGAGATTTTTCCTTAAATTTGACTATTACATATTATTACTTCAAAAATTATTTATTTATTATCCTAATTTAATTTTTTTCTCCTCAAGTGTCTCAAATGATATATGCTTCATATATAATTTATTATATTTATACAAACAAATATATTTATTTTTTATTCGCATACAGTTGAATTTCTATTGAGTGGTACAATACCTGTTTAAACAAGACAATGAACTTGGGTTGGTATCAAAAAGTTGGATACAAAGCTTTGTGTGCCATTTTTTTTATATCAAATATATTTATGAAATCATATAATAATATTTTCTTTTATTTCATTAGATGTTTATTAACTTATTATTTGTAATTTCTAGGTATTACCAATGTTAAAAGTAGAGAAAGTTTGGTTATGGCCTTCAACGAGCTTACGACAGCTGATGATGATCCATTTAGTGCAGCACCGTTTTCTTTGCCTGGTAAGCATAAAAATATTTTATATAGATTATTTATTTTTTAAGGAATGGGGTAGCTTTGTAGGTAAAGCACTAGACTCCTAACTCCCAGATCTAGAATTAAGTCCAGCTAAAAGAGAATTAGTTTTCCCTTGTATTGCAGATTGACTCGCGGGTCAGGAAACCAGGAAACTCTCCTGAAGTCATATCCATACTCTTTAAAGATATGGTTAGTCTGGTGGTGATATTATGATCTGAGGACGTTGATGAGTACCCTTTTTCCGCTTTTGCTATTTATTTTCTTCTATGAAAATATTTACATCAAATTAATTAAAAGCTTTAACACCATAGCTCTATGAAGAAACAAAAAATAATATGTATTATCCATGTTTTTCATTGCAGAAGGATGTAATTAGGAATTGTTTATATTTTTCAGTTCAATATAATTCTAGATGAGTCATCGGTTCTAATAACTCGACGATTGATGAAGTCATAAAATGTGAGATAGTACTCAACTTCTTTCATCGTTTATATTTTTTGCATACTTTGTATGAAACAAAAATTAAAACAAATCTACACTTATCTTTTCAGATAATTCTTCCGATGTGATGTTCTAAAGTTATAAGTATAAATGAGTTTTAACCTTTCATTGGGTTGGGAATAAACTAATGGTTAAACATGGATGCTGACCACATCATCTCGTATAACTGTTGATCTTGGAACATCTTACCAACAACTGAACCTAGAATGATCCATGGGTTAAAGTGCTATTAAAAGAAGTTTTATTAGCTTAGCCGTCCTTGGTTTATAAGTGGTTGTAGCAGAAAGTACGAATATTCATGTACGTGTTGTAAATGCTTAACGTGCTAAAGTGTTATCAGTTATATTAAGGTTATGCCCATACTGTAAACAAAGTTTGTGAGTTCGTAATTGATCTACTAATGTTTTGATTTATTTTTAAAATGCCAAAGTGAAATGAAGAGACTGAGTTGCTGGATTATTTGGTTAAAAATGCTGTATTAGAAAGCATGAATGATTCATAGATGAAATTCTGCTTTATATCTCTACATTCCATGTCTGTGGATATTGTACACAAATAAAAATCAAACACATCAAAATATTACAATAACCTTCTCCGTTTGTTTGTGAAAATTAGCAACATTTTACAGCACCCAGGACCCTAGGCTGTGTTAAAATAAAGAGTCCTTGCGGCCATATTTAACATTCATTTCGTAAATAATGTTCTCGACTTTACACTTTTAAGAGATTTATAATACTTGGTACTGATTGCGTGAATACCCCTAATGTATTTTCTGTGCTAGAATCGGGGGCTCATCCAGTCTCTATAAATTTATTAAACCTGGCTGAAATTGAATGGTGACCGTATAAATTTATATTACTAGAGGTCATGAAATAATTATTATAAGGAAAATATTTTAAAATAGATATTTATTCTAAAAGTTTATTTTAAATTATTTGAAAATTTTATTTATTTTTATAGCTTCAAGACAAAGCCTGAAAAGCAATAAAACCGCAACTAAAAGTTCATCTTCTTCTACAGGTAATGAATAAGTTAATATCACCTTTGATTTCATATGTTCTTAGATACGTACCTTTTAGCGATTTTTAGTGTGTAGTCCAGTGGTTTTGTAATAACTTTATAAGTTATTGTTTATGGTAAATCTTTTAGTGGCGCTATAAAAAAATCAACTGTATTTGTTCTATATAGTTATTTTAAAAAATAAGAAACAAAATAAACGGTGTAACAAAGTAGGAACCAAAATGTAGTATTTAAAAGTATTTAGTTTAGGAATCAATGTGCACTGTGATTGTATAGTGCTTCCAATTGTGAATAGTAAAATCAGTGGAGGTTTTATTTGTCTTTTTATTTGTCTGTTTGTTTTAGTGCGTAAAAGATGTCAGTTAATTTTCTGTGAAATTTAGGTGTTTCTTTATTGTTCTGCTTTTTGTTTGTTACCATTGTCTTGTCAGTGCTTTATTTATTAAATTCTGATATTATTATAATGTAATTTGTAATAAAATTATTATTTCACTACATGACACTTAAAAAAAACTCTTAATTAAAGACTGGATTATTGTGAAAACCTTAGAATTACACAAAAACAACCCTAAAATCTGTATAAGTCGCTATAACTTTAAAAAAAAAAACTTTTTACTCCTTTTTTAAATTATTTATTAAGCAACAAAATTAAATTATTTAAGTAAAATTTAAAAATACAAAAGAAATTATAAATTTTGTTTTAATGTTATCTTTGAGATTGTTTTTTTTTCTTAGAATATTATCTATGAAATAACAAAATAAGGTTGTTTTTTCTATCTAATAATGGTAACATGTTACCTTTTTTTTATTAATTTTTAGATTAAATGCTTCATATTTTGTTGAGTTTTTATATTTTGAAAATGAGAATACTTTTTTGTTTTGTTTTTTCGAAAAAAAGACAAATCTGATATAACTATTTTTAATTCAGTATCGAAAATTGTGTCGAAACATAATCAAAGTTTACTCGTAACTTATTTCAAAAGATCTATTTATTCAGCATTCAGAATTTTCAATTTTTAAATAAATAGATTTAATATTGTTATTAATATGATATTATCGTGAATTATATATCTGTGACTCGATAAAAATTTGATTAAGGACATATAAATAACATAAAATAATTAAAAAAAAAATTAATTGAAACATACTGGATTATGTAAATCTAGTCTGTGTTCGTCCATTTATTTTTTATTCTTATAAACAGATAAGGTGAAAGGGTGATCTGTTCTATTGTTGTTGGAAAACTATATCCAGGTCCAAAAAATTGTTTTTTTGTTTGTTTCTTTCTGTTCTTGTTTTGTTTGTTTTTCTTTTGATGTTTTTGATTCCTTTAAGTTTGGGCTTGTAAACAAATATATATGCATTTTAATTTGAGTCGAAATTATGAATCAAAATTGCAAAATTATGTTACAATATTCTATACTGATTTATACAAACGTGCAGTTGAATATTTTTTTATTTCAAATAGCAGCTGTATATTAAACTGTTATTATTTATTATAAAAATTAAATTAAAATGCATTTCTTAGGCTAATGACATCTTCATCATCTTTTTTTAATTAATGATTTATTTTTTGTGCATTTTTCAGTTGACTTTTTCAATATGTACCCACAAAATTGGTATCATAGGAAAAACTAGGTCTGCTCTACTGGACAACTTTGTTTGTGTTTGGTCGGCCGATATTATATTTAAGACAATATAATATGTTGTTAGCCCTTATGTATAATACAAATAAATTTTATTTAGGGCTTTTGTTTATATTTTTAGCTTTATTTTCCTTTTGATAAATAATGTTATAATTTAATAATCTTGAAAAATATCTTCACTTCACATATTATTCAGTTTATGCGCGCGGACAAATGAATTATTCAGTGGGCTTCTAAGTTATTAGAAGATTTCTTTTTCTACTTTATTAGGAGAGACTATGTTAATATGTTTTCCAACTTTTATTGTGTCTTTCTTCATATTATGTATTATTCAAAAAGTTAAACTATTTGACAAGAATTTGAGATATATTTCTTATCTTCAGGTATATTTAATATTCTTCATGTAAGTAAAAGTTTGATATCATCTTTAAAAGGATCTCAACACAAGAATTATGCATTTAGAAGCCGAAAAACAATTTTAAACGATATAACTGCAAAAGGAAGAAAACTATCTATAGAAAAGGATGAACATTATTTAAGTTAAATAAATAATACTTATTATTAAATTAAATGTTTATGGCTTTAAGGAGAAGCTACAGTCTATAGAAAAAAACACGCCTTTAGCTATTTCCCGCAGAGTGAATAGTTTAGTGTGTGAGAATCAAGGACCGAAACTCTATAAAAAAATAATAAAACTATAATTATTTCCTTTTTTTATTACATAAAATGCATATAATAAAGATGTACATGAGTGCGAAAAATATATCTCAAAAAGTCATTTAATATGTTTATTTTTAATGTTCTAAAGTCTACATACATTTTCCTTTTTGGGGAAACTACAGAGCAGTTATTTTCTTTTCCCTGAACTAGTAAAACTAAATTAGCTTGCCTTGTATTATTATTAATTTATTAAACCCTTTTTACCCACTTCCAATAAATATATACATTACAACACGTCTTTCAAAACTGCAGCAATATTAGTTGCAAACCTGGAAATATTTAAAGAACTTGCTAACAGAGAAATAGCTGAGTCAAGATAATGATGAGATAAACGACATAAGTGAATTTATAAGCATTTCTAGCTTTATTGAGCAACTCATTGTTTACTTTCCGATGCCATTGACTTTATGAAAAATTGCATACAGATTATTCATCGCATCTGTATTTTGATAATTGCAATTTTCTTCATGCGTACTGTGATAAATATTTTTCCTTAAACACTATTGGTTCTAATTGACACTTCTAAAAGTTTCTCGTTTTTTTTTTTTTTTTTTTATTATTATTTTGTTCTGTAGCAATGAAACATGATTTTTTATGGTCTTGGTGGTTAGATCGTATCCTTGATGATGAATTACTTATAGGTCAGATTGAACTGTTTTGTTTAGTAATCGTTTGTGGTTTGCTGACTTCATTGCTTCCTTGGTTTCATCTTCTAAAATATTTTTTATAATTATGAACGAGAATAATAAGAATTTACTTTACTATATTTTGAACTTTTTTTGTCAGTCTAGATATCTCTTTGATGATACTCCTTAGTTATTGTTTTGGTTAATAGTATAATTGATTATATCTTAGTTTGATTAAAAATATTTAAATAATTAAAAAAAAAAAGACAAATAAAACCTTCCTAAGTTTTGAATAAATATTTTTATAAAAAAATGTATTATGATTACTCTCAAGAATATTTATTTCTTATTACATTGGTAACTATAGTATTCAACGCAGATACAATTTTTGATTTTGATATTGTTTTTGAGTTTTCTACCTTCCAGGACTGTATTATAGTCTTGATAAATTATGCACCAGTTCTTCCATTTACGCAACTCTTGTAAGCAAATATATTGTTAACTGATTTGAACTAGTCTCACCTTGCTCATTTCATGCTTTAGATTTTTCTTTAATTATAAAATTTTTCAACTTTTATAAAAATTACTACAATACCGAGGGGAGAAAATATGGCCACTTACCCGTGTTTTGGTTTAATATTAGCTAACAATTAATATATACACAGTGTTTTGTAATAAATATCAGAAGTGATATTAAACAATTTAGAAATATAATTTAAACTAAATCTGATGTAGAGATGGTTGACGTGACACAATATGAGAAGGAGTTGGTCAGGGGTGGGGGGAGTTGGAGGGGGGTGCGGTCAATAAAAACTAAATTTGTCAAAAATAAACTAAATTTGTTTTTTTTTATTTGTTTCATGTGTTCAATGTTGTATTAACATAATATTGTTTTAAATAAATTAATAAGATCTGGACCCCATCATGGTCATTCTAAATTTCAAATTGAGGTATTTTCAGATGCCTATTGTTTTTTGTCGAGGGAGTGGGGTAGCTCAATGGGTGAGCACTGACTTCCAGAGCTCAAGGTCCTAGGTTCAAGTCTGGCTAATGACTATTAATTTTTCATTAGCCATGGATCGACCCTGGGATCGGGAGACCCTCTCCTCCAGGGGCACACCCAGCCTCTATAAAATGGGTACCCTTTATTAAAAAATTATTAAGGGGAAAACCTGGCGGTTGAGCGTGATATCAGCCCCATCTCTGCACAACCGTTGGCCTTGTAACAGTACTTCCTCACATTGTACTCTGAACCCAAAAAGACCCTTCATGAGTTATAGTGGTACAGGTTTTTTTTTTTTTTTTTTAATTGGTTTTTGCCTCTCTGTAAATTAAATAGAGTAATAGAGTCACTGGATTAAATTCTCAAAAATAAATTAATATTTTATTACTTGGTTTAACATTAAAAAGCGAATGTTCTTTGCAATATTATGTGTTGTTTTTAAGTGCAATGCATGAAATATAAATGAACGGACTGGTGTATATAACAAAAAGTATGTTAAATTTTCTTTTTTTTATGTGCCTGCTGTTTGAAAAATATTTTTCAAAGTTTTTATGAAAAGTATGCTATTTTTTTTTATCATTTTAAATATTTGAATTAATATTTTAATTTCTAGTGAAGGTAAAAGGTGTTACCTTATAATGGTTTCGTTGATAAAATTGTTGTTTTTTTTCCCCCTATATCTTTAGAGAATGTAATGGAATTATAAACTTTCTGGCAATGTCGAACAATCATTTCATATCTTTGTTAGTTTAAGTGTATAATATGTAATATTTGAACAGTATATAAATTATTATTCTTAAAGAAATTTTGCTTTGTACCTTTTTTTTTAAAGATTAAACATCTAAATCCATTGATCTTGTAACAGGTGTCATTAATTTTTGAAATTATTTTGTTAAGCCATAAAGAAGGTCGAATTAAAAATAAATTATTAGTATTGTGTAATGGCATATTTAGCAATATATTTATACTCTATTGCAAAAAATAAATGTATTCGTGTATATTTGTTATAAGTATATAATTGACAATTATAACTGCACACATTATATATTGTGGTCAGTGGCCGAATTTTTATATAGCGATTACTATTAAATATCCAAATATCCTAAATATGTATTATTTTAATTTATTGCCATATACCAAAAAAAGTTCAACATATTTTTTTCTCCAAAATTATATTAATTTAATGAAAAGATATTTAAATTATTGGAATGAAAATCTGTTTGTAATAAATCAAATATAATTATTAAAATAATTATTTTAAGTAATGATTAACTACAACTTGAGAAAGATATATTTTACAAAAAAGAAAACATGTCTGCGCTACGCCTTCTTTATTGTGCTTGAGCCATTATTGTTAGCTATGAAAATCACATTATTTCTTCAAATATAATAATTATATTTGTTATTATCATTTCATATAATTTTTCAAGTCATTATTAAAAAGAAGAAAAAAAACTAGTTTAAAAAAATATTTTTAGGGTATTTAGAAGAAAAGAAATACTTCACTGTTGTAGTATTTTTATAATGATTAGAATTTTGTATTTCTTAGTATTTGTAGAAATGTGTTTACGATGATTACCTGCTTAAATGTTGTTTGAATATTTAAAATAAAATATTGTTCTAGGAATGTTTCATTTATAAAATGTAAGTGTCGGAGGCTAATTTTTTGCTGTGAGAATTTATAACGAATACGATCGGTGTTATTACTAGCCTCTCTTTTTTTATATTATTATTACTTGTATTGATATATTCCCCCTCCCCCCCCCAAAAAAAGACATGAATGAATTAATGACATTCTGTCATTTATGTTAACAATATTTTTGTAAATTTTTTTCCAATTCTTAGATTCATTAAAAGGCCTAAACCTGACTCTATTAGCTGGCGAAGTATTTTTTCATTTTGCATTTGCATATGCATATATATAAAAATATATTTTTATTATTAAAAATATAATTTTAGATATACATTAGTACTTTATAAATGTAATTAGTTTTTTTTTTTTCCAATCGTAGTCATTATTAACTGCTTTTGAAAAATGCCATGAAAGATCCCGACTGTCTCTAGTCTTATTATGCTTTGTAAATAATACAAACGCAATTTTCATGTTTATTTTAAGGTTTCTATCTAGGAAAAAAAAAATATAATCAGGCTGTTAATTAAAAATCATTAAAATAAAAATACATGATTTATATATATATATATATATATATATTAGCTAAAGAATGTATTATGTACTTCCAATAACTAGTCATTGTAAATTATATACTTGTGCTGAACATGGAAGATGTCACGCCTATGTTATATAATTAACGTAAAGTCAAATATTTTATTATGAATTTTTAGGTACTCAAATTAGTTGTAAGAATTCTATTAAGGAATATTAAGCTCATTTATGTATTATGTAATATTTCTTAGGTGTAATTATTGTGAAAAATTAATTCTGTTACCAATAGTTTTTTATTTTTTTTTAAAGAGGCTGTGCACATTACTTGTATTAGGACAGTATATTACAACTACTAATGTTTTCAGAATGTTTAGTTTTTTACTGGGCCAAAATCATTATCAACAATTAATTACTAGGAAAAGTATGTACTTTGAAAGTCTAATACTAGAAAGAATTTCAGTATTAGTATTTCTTTTTCTTCTTCTTTTTTTTTTTTTTTTTTTTTTTTTTTGTAAATATTTAATAGTTTCTAGTCTGTATTCGGTTTATCAAATATATGTTATAAGAATTTTCAAGTTTTATTTAGTTATTGTATTCATATAGATATTCTTAAATGTATACTCTTGATTTACTATATCAATATATATGTATACTCTTCCGTTGTTTAATATTATCCTATAACTGAAATTCTTAAAAAAATAATAAAACGAAGCAAATATAAAAAAAAATCTATGTCAAGAAAATGTATTGATTAAATCAACATTTATCAGGAAATAATGCATAATTTCTGATTTATAAGAAATTTTTATTCTCTATAATAAAAAATGTAATCAGTAAAACTTTTGTAATTTTAAGAGAAATCGTGAATCAGAGCCTTAATGTAAGAGAACACTACAGTTAAAATAAAACTTGTAAATATGATATTTAACCTTTTCGCTGCTGTTTGTAATCTAAATTTGAATTGGGTACTCGCATGCAAAAAAAAAAAATTGAGTAAATTAGAACTGTAATTGAATTCAACTGATATAAGCTTGATATTACACTTTTTAAATATTAAAGAAAGATTCATAAATAGTTAAAAACTTGAAGAGTATCTTGAAGGTGGGGACTGGAATTGTGGCCTGAGTCCACTGTTTCTTATTTTTTTTATGACTGCAAAAAACGATACTCTTAAACCTCTCTCAACTCTATTTTATAAATGTGCATTTACAAAAGGTAATAAAACACATTTTAAACTAAATATATTTATTTGAAGTTAACGGAATGAGAGTAAAAGACGGAAAGATATTTCTCGGATAGAATTAGATGCTGGCGGCCCATTGCCATGTCCCCACTCTCATGATGTAGCTCCGTCTTCACTACTTTTCTTTACACACAATTATTTTTTTCAAATATACATCTTAAAAATTTGCTATATGTTGAGTTTTTATTGTTCTAACTCGATCTTCACTGACCAATAAATATTAAAAATGCCAGTACCATACCACCATGCCATGATACAAGTGAAGTTTTGAAGAAATATTGAGCAAATTCTTTTTTTACCTGAGTAATTTGCGATTTTTAAACCAGCTCACTAGAATTAAAAGTTTTTAAGATAAAAACATAATTCTCTCGGTTTGAATATTATTGGAGTTCAATGTATTGCATAAAATTGTTTGTCTTGAGGCATTATTTTTAATGATAATAGATTTACCAATAAATCAATTCTCGCTATGGCTGATTTAATTTAATTTTTAATAAAATTTCTATTAAAAGTTATCTAACAGTTTAAAAAAAAAATATTAAAGATTTTCTTTGTGATAAAAATAGAAAAATACATTAAACCATGTTAAAGCGTTTCTTAGAAGTCTCCCATTATTCTCAGCAGCTAAAAGGTTAACAATATCTTTATATCGCAAGTTTTTAATTTTTTTTTTCTCTCTAAATTCTCATTTTATTCACTTAAAGTAACATCTAGCTGATTATCTCTTATTTATTTTATTATTCTTTAAAAATATATAATTATATAGACTTTTGTCTTTATTATTTTCAGATTTATATAGTTGTCTGTAGTTCTAATTTGAGAAGAAGTTAGTAAAGTGTGTGGTCAATATATATGATACTATTCTTTAATATAGTATTTTATATATTGACCCCACTCTCTACTGACTTCTTCTCAAATAGGAGTTATATAGTTTATTTTCAAATCTAATTCGTTTTATCATATAGTTTCTGTTAGTGGCTGTGTCAGGAAATTTGATATTTATTTTCTGGTCAAACTTTAGTTACATTTGAAGTTATTTCATAAAAGTATTTTAATTATACTATTTTTTATATTATAAATTTTTGTACCGAAAATTTCCTAAATTAACTTAATCTATTTTTTTTTTTCAATAGTTCACTTGATTTGTTTTCAAATATTGACTTTTTTCTTTTCAAAATAATTGTTTTTATTTTGTGTTGTATCGTATATTTTTTTTTTCTGTTATATTTTAACTAATGATAAATTTGGTTATTGCTGTTCTTACAGTTAAAAAAAAAAAACTGGCTCATATTTCTTTTCTCTTCCACTAAAGTTGGACAAATAAGTGTAGTAACAGTCATAAATATTATTAAAATAAGATTATTCCTTAGGTCATCTTTAGTTATAATTATTTTGTATTATTGATTTATTGCTGAATTCTGTTAAAAAATAAATGAACAAATGGCTGTAATAGGATTGAACTTTGGGATTTTATTGTTGTAAATTTCATTATGGTACTTAAGTCGCAATGCTTAAATAATTTATCATTGTAAGAATAAGAAAGTATTTCAGACAATATTGTTTTACCTCCATAATCTCCTAGTGATATATATATAATGTATGTACATGTATTCAGTTTAGTCTTATTTCATAAGAATTGTCAAATATGTTAATTTAAAAAATTGTTATTGTCGTAGAATCGTATTCTGTTTCAAATATCAGTCCGTTATTTTGTGGATACAGCCATCCGTTACGATATTTTCTATTATATGCTGTTTCATTATCTTCCACCAAGTTTTAATTTTCACATTCATTGTCGTATTATTTTGTCTGATCCAGTATTAATTGATTGTACATTTTGATAAATTTTAAGAAGTAATGTGCACAAAACAGTTTTTTTTTTTTAACTTTTAATATGAATTGTAAAATGGCTGTATGAATAAAATAATAAAGACTGGTGTTTGACAACTTTTTTATTGTTCACCTTTTTCCTTCACATCTGATGATTTTATCTAGAGCCTTTATTTTCTATTCATTCCCTATTTTTGTAAATATTATTTTTTTTTTTCGAGTTTAATTATTCAATAATGAAATTTAACAGGATTTGACATAAAAGTAAAGGATTGGAGAGAATATGTTGCAGTCGAGGATGCATTATTGCGGGAAAACCTATCCCCAGATGCTACCATTATTAATCCTCTCCAGTTTGTCAAAATCCCGTTACAGGATAGATCCAAGTATGAAAAGTTAACTTTTAATTTGGAAGATATTTCGTCCGACGAAGAAACAGGTATGAGGTTCCTTTAATATCTATTTACAATATTTAATAAGTATTACAAAAATAAATATTCACATGGCTGTATTGTGTTTGGTGGACTCTCGGGAGAACTCAAAACCAAACTTAAACATCTACTGAATTGCTTAATCTTTGGATCAAGGGATTCGCATATTACCGAGTATTACACCAAGTTGAAATAGCTTTATCACTCCTATCACCGTCAGTATTTCCTTGCTACTTTCCTAAACCAGGCTATTAGAACTCGTCGACCCTTAATTAGGTAATTATATTAGCTTTTATCAGTGGAATAGATGGAGAAGACTTTTCTGCCTTGGACTGCCATCATAATTTAAAAGAGTATCTTCTTGATGGTGGACTTTGTAATTGGGTTTCAAATAATTTTTATTTTCAAGTCTTATTTGTTTCTTCTTTTAATAATTTGAATTTAAAATTCTAAAATTAACACTTTTAACACAAAATGATGTATATTTGGCCTCTGAAACCAACACCGTTCATCATATCCTATAGCTTAGTATTTTCAGAAATTTAATTAATTAGATTACTTGATTATTAACAATTTTTTTGAAAAATAAAAGTTTACCTAATAATAGATTTAGAAATTTTCTATTTCAAACGCATATTGTAAGTAATGAGTTGAAAAAATAAATTAACCAGTTGTCGGGTTTGCTATATCGAAAAATACCATGTCATTTTGATCTGTAGCTATTAAGTTTTGGTGTCCACAACTCATAACAACCTATAGGTATGTTGATTGGCTGTTTGTTGGCATATGTAACAAGTATCAAGTATGGGTACTTCTACTGATATTGGTGGTAGCAGTTAGTGCGATAAGTGTCTCTATTTGTGAACTCCTGGCAGCTACCTAGAGATTGGCATCCTGTTATAAGCAGAGTTGTAGAGTCAATTTCATTTCTCATGACCATCCATAAAATAAACATTAACTCACCTAGGAGAAAATTGAACCCATACTTTCTAAATCTGACTCATTTGGACTCAAGTTTCAATATGCTCCACCTTCATCGCCTTTGGATACATGTATACATGTATTTTATATGCATGTATATATTTATATGTATGTATGTATATTTTATATACTCAACTATAAAAGTGCATATTTTTTAAAATCTTACTTCAAATGTAAAGTTAGCAAGATTGTGAACACTTCAGCAATGGCAGTCAAGCTATTTTTAAATGTTTACCACCATAATGACTAGATACCAATCATCATGAAAAATAAATTGATCCATCGCAGCCGTTTGCTGTTTTATGAATTTTTTAAAAATCATATCTATCAAATACTATACCAGACCATATTGGATTCTATACAAGACCAAACTGTTTTGAACAAAAGATAACCTAGGCTTTTTTGAGACCTGTATTTGCAATGATTCACAAGTTGGCTATATGTAAAAATTAAAGCCATTCAGTATCTAAATAATTGTTGGTCCCATTGCCTCCTACTCATACAAGAAGAGTTTGTAGGAATAGTTGTCTTTATGGACTGGCTGATGGAAATTGTTCTCGCAGTTTAGCCATTATTCTCTTAAATATGGTACAAATAAGTATCACCACTACAGAGTCATCAATTTTTTTGTACTGATTGAAATAAAATGAAAAAATAATTTTATTATGGGACTTCTGTCCCCAAAGAATAATAACAGAGAATTATAACCCCTACAAATTTATGGGTCTTAGTCTGACTTATAGTAATAAAAAATATAAACTAATTAACTGTTAATTGTCATTGCAAATGTGCAGTAGATTGAAATTAAACAGTGTACAGATACAAGTAATTTTACATGTTTGCGGAAGTTTGAATGTGGAATAGGTGGTGGAACAGGAGTTGTTTGAAGGAATTTGTGAACGAGGATTGACGTATGAAGGTAGGAAGGGAATTTCATAAGGAAGCAGCATGAATGACGTAGGATTTGCTGAAGGAAGAAGTTTTATGGGAGGAAATATATAAGTCTATAGGTTGAGACCTGGTATTAAGAGAATGAATAGAGGAACATAGAGTTAGGAATTCCAGGATGTAGAGAGGGTTTTGGTTCTGAAGACTTGGAAAAGGAAAACACAAAGGAGGAATTGTCGTCGGGAAGTAGGATAAAAGCCACTTCAATTCGGTGTACCAAGTGAAACATGTGAACGCCTGGGGATCCCGAAGATGTATCTTATGAAACAATTCATGAGTCTCTTCAGTCTCATTTCTAGCCTGGCAGATAGCCCTCCATATACCAAAAAGGTGTAGTCGAAGTGGGGAAATATAAGGGAGGTTACAAGGAGCTGTCTGGTTTTTAGAGGAATACAATCACGGAATCTTAGGAGTTGTTTAAGGGTAGTTATGGATTTTCGGGTAATATGGGAGGTTCTGGTCAAAGGTTACTCCTAGGTTTTTGACTGTAGAGAAAAAAATGGATGGAACGGTTATTGAGGTTAAGTAGAAGACAGTAAAGAAGGGAGCTAATGAGATGTCTGGACCCGATGAGAATAGCCTTATTTTTATCTGCATTCAGCTTTAATTCATTTATTTCTGCCCATCTGTTGATGCAGTCGATATCCTCTTGTAGCTTTCAGACAGCCTCAGGCATCTCAGAAGGTTGGAAAGATTGGTACATTTGGAAATAATCGGTATATAGTTGGTAGGATTGTTGAATGGCTTCAGGAAGGTCACTAATATACTGATTCTGTATCTAAAGAAGAAAAATTACTGTACCCTAGCTTTACTAATCTACATGGTCTGGGAAGTTTTCAAAGGTTTAAAAAGTATATTTAAATCAATTTTCAGATGTCAGGAAGAGTTTTATATTTCATAAAGCCTCTGTTGCTGAAATTTATTATTTCATTGTATGTTTAATGGTCATGTTGAAATATCTTGATTTTCTTAATTAACCAGAGCAAGTAAATTGTAGAAATTTGTAAAAAGCCCTTTTTATTTAAAATTTGTAGTTAATATTATCAATTAAGTAGGTTAACTTCTAGGTATAGTTCCTAATTTTTATTTGTTTTAGGTAATACAAGAAAAAAGAAGTTAAAATTCAAACAACGAACAAAAAATACCAGTAATTCAGATGACTCGATTGGTTCTGCTACCGATTTACAAACTAGAGAAATTGAAGATGTTCCAGGAAATGTTGAAGAAACAGAAACTATCAATGAAAGTATTTTGACTTGTGGTTCGTCTGCTTATCACGCTGAAACAGAAAGCATGGCCAGAGACGACATTATCCTGAAAAATAAACCGAAGTTATTGGAAGAACAGGACTGTTTTGTTGGCCATAGCTACGGAGACAAACCTCTACTAGCAGATGATGAGTTGGATATATCAGATTCGCCAACACTAGAAGTTGAAGATGTCTTTGCTATGGCCCCTTTTTCAAAAGTTGAAAAACCTAAAAAACATAGGCCAAATGAAAATATTAGAAGAGAAAAAGAATATCCTCAACCGTCAGTTAATCAGGATATGTTCGGAGCAGTCCCGTTCAGTACTAATCCCTTCATTACTGAAAAACAAGAGTTTACCGACTCTGACTTTGAAGCTAAAGATTTCATTTCATTTAATGATCAAAGCAAGGTCCCAGTATTCGAGAAACTGGACGTTTCTCCTTCGGATGATAATTTTAATAATTTCATTTTAGCCGATAATTTGAGGAAAAAAAACAAACCCTCCGCAGAGGTTTCGAAATATAATTTGATCGATGAGGCAAAGCTAAAGTCGAGGGTTAACAAGCATTCCAATTCAAAGAAGATTAAAGTTAAACCTTTAGCTGCAGGTTTATGCAATATGAGTTTCGAAGACTACGTTGACGAGAAGGAAGTACTTCAGACATTTGTACCTTACGAAGTTGTAAGAGGGGATGAGTCGACCCAGCCTGATTCGTATGGAAGCCTGAAACGAAGAAGCAATCCTTTCTCTTGAGTTTTGTTTCGAAAGTATAAGGTATTGCCTCATGAATAAATTAGGCCTTATCATCGTTTGGTGCTAGTTTAAATATTTATAATCTTATAGAAAAGAAATTGAAAATTTTATATTGCAAACAATCACATCTCTTGTTATTGTTGATTTGTCTTATACGTAATCGAGTATATGAGTATTCTTATTTTAGCCTTGAATAAGTATTTTTTTTGCCATTTTGGAGTTCCTAATTGATCACAGTTGTATTTAGCAATTCAAATCTGTTTAAATAAAAATACAATCCTATATCTTTTATTATCTTTTGCGAGTGTTTATATTTAGATTAATTTAGTTTTACTACATATATGTATTTTTTAACCGTTTATTTTGCTGTTATTTCCATTCCAACTGGCCTTATGCAGTTACTATTAGAGGAAAAATTATTTATTTAGAAATGAGCTTCCATATTATAGTGTGTAATATTTTTACATGAAAATTTGCTGTGATTTCAACTATATATTCGAAAGAGAAATGTATTTTTTTTAATATTTATTTATTTTGTAGATAAGTAGTGGTTGTATTAATAAAATATGACAAGACTGTCATTTTTTTTTAATGTATTAGGTAGTTTCAATTTTATTTAAATAGTCGTGTCGTTTTGTTGTTTTATGAAGGAAAGTCGATTGTGGAATCTAGTAACATTGTGATGTGGCAAGGGATTTTTTTGGAACATTTAAATTTAATGATATGCCTAATAAGTGTTTCTGTGTAAAAATTTATTGTTTGATAATCTTTTTTTATTCATTTATTCATTTGTTATTAATTTCTAAATATGTAAGATTAATTAGAGCAAAAACACAAAAATGAAAAAAAAAAACTGTAATTTGAGTCACTCGAATAGCAGTTGATTGTTAATGGCAGTGAATGGCTACAAGTCAATGTTCATAATCAGGACTGAACAAGATTGATTGAATGACAGACTTAAGATTGAATTAATGTAGACTAGATAGCCTATCCTCACTTCAATATAGGTGTATTTATTTAGGGAGTATAATTTGATAATTTCATGCGATGTACTGTTACTATTTTTTCAATCTGTATTAGGCTTTTAAAGCTGTTTAGTTATATTTTGCGATTTTTATATAGTTAAGGCTTTACTCAGAATCTTCTAATAATATCCTAAATCTTTAATAAGTCCATCAATCAAAATAAAATTAACTTTTTGTTTAAATCATTAGGGTTTTGAATCAAATATTAAGTTTTATTTTATGTCAGTTTCGGTATGAATGGAATCATTTTTTTTTTCCTGTTATTTCCGCACTGGAACCCCTCCTTGATACTTTTCAAGTAAAGGTTTTACATAACTCTAATTTTTGAAAAAATTTTATTTAATAGTTATGTGGTTTCGTCAAAAAGTCTATCTAATTCTTAGCTACTCAAGCGAATGACACTTGAGAATCAACTAATTCATTTAAGATAAATTATAACTCTAATCTAAGTCCAATTATTTTTTATTTCTCATTTAACGTAACTTTTTTTTTTTAAGAACTTTAATACATAAAAGTTAAACCATAAACCTAGAACTTTCATCTAAACAACTTTTTGTCATAAAAAGTTTCACAGAAATTGATAAAATGGAGATTTTTTGAAAAAGTTTCAACCATAAAGCACTTTATGGAGATTTATTTAAAAACTGTTATTATCGTTTATCATATCGATTACATCTTTACATTTTTCACTTATGATTTTATATTAAATATTTTACTTCAAAATAAGTTGTAATATTTTAAGAATTAGGAAAAAATGTAGGGTCTTGACTGAACCATTAGATTAGGCTCAGCTCAAGATTATTAGCTCCTTAATTTTTTTTAAAAGCTATTTTGCAATACAGAAATATATTTTATAAATTACCTATTTTATTTCATACCTTGTAGATTTCCATTTTTGTGCATACAAAACTATAGGATCTTTGTTGAATCCATCCATCCATCTAGTTTGTGTATAAATACTGTAGTATTGATTGTTATATAGAGACTTCATAATGGATCACTACTTATTCTATGCATGTCAGTCTACTCACCTTCATATAATGAATTATACACTGACTAGTTTCTGTAAGAAGTTCTTTATTGGTCCTTTTCCTCCATGCGATTGTATTCTGATCCCGTATTTCTTCGGATAAATCACTTATTATTAGATACTATTCTATCCACCAGTAAAAATAATGGAACTAGTTTAATTTTTGTTGATAGAGCGTAAATGTGCTCTCTGAACACTGTTATAAATGTCCTTATTTGTGACAGATTGTAATGTCTCTCAATACATATAGTTAGTTAGTTTAATTTTAGACTAAAATGAACTATCTATCCATTAAATTTTTTTTTTTTAATGTTAACAGGCATCTGTGAGAATTGCTGAAATAGTAAAACCTCTGAACATTTTTTGATATGAATAAGTAAACATTTTCTATAAAAAAATTTTTTTCAGTCCATTAAATTTTTGTTAAATTTATCTGTACAGTTTTAGGGCCCATCTGATACCTTGGCTTAGCATATCCCTACCTGCCTTTCTATTTTTGATTAAACTAATCTTTAAATTATTTTACCAAAATTAATATTACTGTAAATTCGGAAGCCTGGATTAGGTTGGGATGTGCATGCGGACTCTGAAGTTTGAGGATTGAAGAGTGTTCCCCTGATTTTTTTATTATTTTCGATTTGTGGGAAAGAATTAAAATTTATCAGGTTGGAGGATGTTATCTTTGTATCAATGAAATATTCTGGTGTGAACTCTTGTTTTTTTTAAATCCAGTCTAAAAATTTTTTTGTAAATTGTGTGTGGAATAAAAGTGTTTTATTTCCAATTCAGAGTACACGTATTAATTTTTTTATAACCTAGGGATCAAATATAACGGTTAGTTATATCTTTGAACCTTAGTCGAACATTATGGTGACCAGGACAGGACAGGATATAAGCTATGGAATAAAACTAATCCAGAACTAGACAGAATCAGCATCGCATTTTTTAAAATCAGATTAGTTATATCCTGAATTAAGTTATATTAGGTTAAAGTTAGAATAGCATTGACTCATCTATAAGATCCATCAAAGTATTAAATTTTTAAGACATGATGAAACTTGACAGATTAGCAAATGAAGTTACTGTTTCAGAAATGCCTAGCCACAACACATTTGCTAGATTCTTTGATGTTTGACATTTATATATATATGTATTATTTATCAATAATTTTATATATTAGTTGATATTGCTATCGATATATACATATATAAAAATTTAAAAAAAAAAAGTCCAAAAACTTATATAGTTATCCATATTATTATTTGCATCAGTGATTTTGCTCAATTCAGTTCAACTTTTTTATTCCTTTTGTTGATCTGCATTAACTTGATAATTTTAATTTATGTTTATAGTCATTTTGATGCTTAAACTTGCCGTTTCGGTGGCTTTGATATGTAGCCGATACATTTTTTGTTTCTTTATCTAAAACTTGGTTGCTATGATTATGTTTTGAAGGAACTATTTTAGGAATAGAAGGGCCTTTATACATTCTATCGTAAGAAATATTTAGCTTTTAGTTATTATACCCTCATATATTGAGACTGTTACCTTAGCATAAGATTTGTTTATTTATTTTTATCTTTGTACCAAAGTTTTTTTTTTCTTGTTTCCTTCTGGTGTTCAGTTACATTCCTTCGTCTCTTTTTTCTTCATTTATTTTGTAATGTTAACGAGTGTATAAAAGACAGTTATTATAATTGTTTATGTAAAAAATGTATTAATTATTTATTTTGTATATTTATTTGTTGATGGGTATGATGTATTTTTTATTCGAAAAAAAAAAGAAAAGAAAATGAATTGTCATTTATTTGTTGATTGTTATATAATAAACAGTTCTGCTATTATTACATATTTTTTTATTACTTGATTGATTTATTTAACCAGACATCATGACTTACCTAATATTAAATATCCTGAACAAATTTAGTAATGCTTCTTTATGATACTTTCCTTAATAAAATTCAGATTAATGTTTTAAGGGTATGTAGTAAATTTACGATAATATCTTTTATTTAGTATTTCTAGCTATTATTTTAGAACTTTTTCACCTCTTGATCGAATTTTCATATTTCAACTTCATAATTTGTTTATCTAAAAAAAAAATGTACAAACATCCATCAGCGATAAATTATATCTATTTTATAATTATAAACTATTATCACAATGACCGATACTCTAATTATTTTAAATCATTATTATTAGAAATTAGAAAATCCAAATTTATTGTCAAATTATTTTAATTTTTTTGTGTTATTTATTAATTTCATAATCTAGATTGATACGATATTTTTCATAAATTTTCTTTTACATTTTAACTGCAATTAAAACTTAATTTTTAATTATTATTAAATATTTTTTTAAATTGGTAAAAAAAAAAAAATTATTTTACTTATAAAGTCATTGATTCTTATTCTAAGATTTATATCTGAAGATAAAGATAAAGAACATACAAAAATTAACAAAAGTTAACAATTAATTTGGGTAGTCTCATTTATTAATAATAATGGTTTATTAATAGTCCGTGATACAGACACCTTTTTATCGAATTATTAACATCTTCCTGAAACTTCATAAATAGCTTCTCCTCATCATAGTCTACAAATATTTTATTTACGAAAATTCTTGGAACTGGTGCATTTTCAATCTGGAGGTCGGTCACCATCAAGCAAAATGGTGTCCTTCAAAAATATTGAGCCATTTGGCATTACCTGCACTCCCAAATTGTCAAAATAACGAGGTTATATAGGCCAAACGGCTCAATATTTTTGAAGGCCACATTTTTTCTTGACTTTGTGCTCAAGTTATCTTACGATTTTAATTGAAAGAAAATGGGTGTTTATCAGTTTTTAGTGCCTACTTAAATAGACCAAGTTTGCCGATCTCCAGAATGAAAGTGCCCCCATTGCGAGAGGTTTCGTAAATAAAATAGTTGTAGGTTACGAAGAGATGAAGCTATTTACTTGTTAAGCTGTTTATTTGTTTGTTTCACCCCATTTCTATGGGTACTTAAAACAAAACTTTTTTTTTTTTCCTGATGATAATTAATCTGTGGATGTTCGAGATCTTTAGTTGAGTAGTGAAAAAAAAAGGATAGTTTCTTACAGGATCGACAAATGCATGTGACCAGTTTGGTTCATAAAACAAACGAACTATTGCTATTTGAACTATGGTGATGCCTACGTTTCTTACTTTTAACTATATTTTGGATTCAGTTACTGTTTATATTTGAACTATGAAACCATTTTAAAGTTCTGTTGTATTAGTTTTAAATATAAATTCATTTCTTACAAATATTAAACTATAGAATATAGGAGATGACATGCAAAAAGTTGACTTGATGTAATGAGTCAACTTTATGGTAAGATTCACAATACAAATCCATAAAAGAATAGATTATAGCTGAAATGTCTACCCCAGTAAGTAACATGTACTTAAATAAACAGTTTTTGAAATTATGATTTTAATAAATAAAATGAGTTATTTAAAAAAAAAAGAATGTATATCAAACTTCGTTGTAACCTTCCTCTTAAAACAACAGAAATCTATAATTTAAAAAAAAATCTTATCATTTCGACGACGTTTCAATCCACTTTGTAGGTCTTCATCAGGTCGTGGAAAAGGGCACTGCAAGTAGCAATTGATAGACTGGCAGTCAGGAGTAAAATGAAAAGAACAGGATAGTTTCTTATAGGATCGACAAATTCATGTTTCGACTGCCAGTCAAATCAACTACTACCTGCAGTGCCCTATACCAGGTCCTGATGGAGACGTACAAAGTGGGATGAAACTATTAAAATACTATTTTAAAAATTTAGTATTTACTTGACCGCATCCCCCCGACCAACTCCTCATATTATATCACGGTCAACTATCTCTACACTATTAAAAAAAATCTGTAGATCAGATAACATTTCTTTTTCTTTATGTTAATTAATTTTTATCTGTGTTTATATATTTTATTCACATATTTTTTTTAAAATGTCCTTACTAAGTACACATGTCTATGTACATATCTATGTAAAAAAAACATAATTTTTCAAATAAATGTTTCATTGTTCTGTTTTTTTTTTCTTTTCTTTTAACCCTAAAAATAGCTCTTTATACTTCTTTAAGCCCAAAAATTCTGTTCTGTGGGTGCTCTAACAAAATAACAACTGAATCATTTCAACATTACAGAAAATTTGATAAATAAATGTTTGACATGACAATTTTTTCAAGGTCAGGAATTCCATTGGCTATGTTTGGTAAAAACATAGTAAATTGAACAATTCCTATTTTTAAAAAATACTCAAATATTAATAACATTTTGTAAAATGGTTTGTTGTTATACTTAAATTTTGTTAATTCAAAAATTGAAGGGAATATTACTATAATATTCAGATTATAAACTTGATTATTTAAATAAAATACATTACTAATCATTCAAAATATATTTATTCTATATTTAACAAAAAAAAAAAAAAAATTATAATACTACAACACATAGCAATCTTAAACTTAAAAGTTATAAAAATAAAAACAAATACTAAGATTAAATTTAGGCTGTAAATCATTCTATTTATAAGTTTTTTTACTTATTTAAAAACAATGAAATATATTTATAATAAATTAGAAATAGTTTTAAAGCTATTTCTTAGGAACTATAAAACATAATTGGGAAGTAAAATGATTAAGTAACATTTCATATTAATCTTATTTTTTAAAAGAATATTTGTTTGTTCTATCCCTTAAATAAATCACACCATCAATTTTAACTTGTTTATTTTATTAATGAGTAGAATACTGTTTAAAAAAAAAAGTGTTTTAAGTAAGACCATGCAACTCCTAAAAATCGATATTAGTCCTATAATAATTAAATAGATTAAGTAAACTATATTAACAATCTCAGGAACAAAAAATGATTTTGGAACCCAAAAAAATACAAATTATTTTTTTTATAAAGTCTTATTTTCATATATAACATGAACAACCTTTTGATATTACAGGATCTTACTGTTTGTTTTTTTTATACATTTATGACTGAAAACGTATTATTAATCGTTTCAAATCTCAAAATTCAAACTATATCTTTGTTATTTTAACATATATATACAAAAATATGTACAAGTTTCATTATTAAAAAAATTCTTTTAAAGATCAGTATTCATAAAGGTTTTTGGAATTTTAGGTTTTCGAGAACTAATTATATATAATATTGACAATACTGTATATAAAGCAAATGTCACCCAAGTCATAATTATAGCGAATTTAAAGGTCAGATCTGTGTTGATTAGCCATCCATCACGCTTGTGCCTATAGTCTATATATTCAGGATCTGGCTGTAAATAGTCTAAGAAATCATAAACTGTACCACATGACAATCTATCTGTCACCAAGCTGGCCAAATCTCCGTTAGCCTGAAAAAACAAATTATGAAATATTATAAGTAAATTGTATGTAAAATATTTAAGAGCTTATAAAAATTATGATTTTATAAGTATTATATTTTATTAGCTACTTTTCAATCTTAATGGTAACAGAGTCGAGTGTTAGAACGAGTTTTTTTTATTGCTTTAAAATTACCAGAGGGTATATAATTATCCTCATTTAGACCCTGTGATGTAAATGGATCAAAACATTTAATGATATTGCGATCACTTAGACTACATTGTTGTCCTTAGTCAGAATTATAGTCGTCTAATTACTTTAATAAGGAACTCAGATATATACTAATCAAATGAAGTTAATTTTTCATATCAAAACCGTTTTACAACTAAATAGTTAAATCATAATGAAAATTCTATCATCTGAATTTCACATTAAATCCTCTAGAACTATAGTATGACATCTGTGCATAGTGTGCTAAGTGCGAAAATCATAGTTATAGAAAAATGCAATCTTATGCAGGTGCAAGTTCAATTTTCGGGTTTCAACGCATGATTCACAAAGGAATATTCATATCTGCAATAGCCGCACATTTGCCATTAAACACAAAAAAAGAGTCAAAAATTATTTTTCTGGTTATACCTTTTTCACAGGTGCCACAGAATTAATTCAAACTAATGGAAAGGTGTAATTATTTTATTATTGTCTAAATTTAATTTCCTTTTTTCTTCTTCTAAATCAAATTATAATGCATTTTAAATGGAAATATTTTACTGTCCTTTCACAATTTTACATTTTATCTCCACAGTTTATTAAATTAATAAGAACATAAAGAAAAGTACAGTTAATAAATAATTTAAACACATGAAAAATTATATGCATTATTTAAAAAATTCTATTGCTGAAACCTAGTAAAAAGCCTAAATATACAATTGAGAATTCAAAAGAGGCATTAATATTATTATGATTGAATAATAATACACATTATTTTAAAACTGATTTATAAAACAAAAAAAAGATGGATAGATTATTTAAATAATATAAGGGTTTCAACCGCCGAGTGTTTCAACCGCCGAGTGTTTCAACCGCCTCCCGCAGTGCCACATCCAACGCCCTGAAGACGACCTGCAAAGTGGGTCGAAACGTCGGCAAAAATTAAAATTATTTATATATTTTAATTTTTTTTATTTTTTTGACCGCACCCTCGACTAATTCCTTCTCATAAATAATATAAGGATGATAAATAAGGTTTGAAGTATGCATTTGTTTTATATATTTGCAAATTCTAATTATTTAAAAAATATTAAAAAATTTCCATCTCTAAATTAAAATAATAATTAAATTGTCTAAAGATAACAGCATTAATCAAGAAAAAATAATAATAATTCTAATCAGCGCCACAAGAGGCCAGCACTATCCAAACAGGCGTTTGCCAAACCGAATTCTAGCTCGAAAATTTTATTTTGTATTAGGAGAGTAGGAGCTAAAAGGAGCTTAACTAGGAGGTAAGGGTTAAGTGCACATGCACTCATAGTTCTAGCGGCTGCCACAAGACAGCAGCACTATCGGGCCTGCCACCTTACCTACTAGTTAAGCTCCTTTTAGCTCCTACTCTCCTAATACAAAATAAAATTTTCGAGCTTGAATTCGGCTTGGCTCAAATGCCTGTGTAGTAGTTAGTGTAAATACCACGTGTGGCGCTGAATAAAACTATTATTTTAATTGTCTTTCAGTTTTTTTTTTATTATTTATGCTGTTATCTTTAGGTAATTAAATTAACTGATACTTTAATTTAGAGATATACATCTTATTGTGCTGTTTTTTTTTTTTTTTGTTGTAAATAATCAAGATTTGCAAATAAAACAAATGTAGACAGACTACTAATCCTGATTATTTATTATCCTAATATTATTTTAATTATCAATCTATCTTTTTTTTTTTGTTCTATAGGTGAGAATTTTAAAGAGATTTGTATAATTTTTCAAACATTTATGAATGCTTTATATTACTTATTAATTAGTTTGTTATATTAACAGTACATTTCTGTATGTTCTATTTAGCTTAATAAACTATGGATATAAAATATAGAATGTACAATTAATTTAACAAAACAAAAACAATAAAATTATTACATATCATTGTCAAAAGAGTATTGGAATACATAAGTTATTTGATTTCATTTTGAAAAATTCAAAAAATTATTTTTTAAACACTTATTCCTCAAAAGATACAGAAAAATACAAAATTTGAAAAGAAATATTAAAAAAATTCTGTACAACTACAACCCATGTCTTGGGTTCCGTATTTTGTAAAAAAGTAATGTTTCTTGATCAACGGTTGTGCAAGGAGATGATTTGACCGAGATCATACTCAACAGCCAAGTTTTCTCCTTTAATTATTAAATTAAGGTTATCCACTTTATAGAGGCTGGGCACTTTATTAAAGGAGAGTCTCCCGACCTCAGGGTCAGAATGAATAATTTATATTCATATTTATATTCATTAATTAATTTATATATTTTATAAATTAATTTTTTTTTATGAACTGAATACCATTTATTATACCATTCGCATTTATAACAGCCTCTAGTATTCTTGACATCTATGAAACAAGATTATGAGTCATTTCTTGTTAAATTTTATATAATTGTACATTTCTTGTATACATTTTATTTTTTGTTATTTTTAGATCAAACAGATAGCATATGTTTACTATTGCATTTATGCCGGAGACTGTGGTACCCTTTTCAATTGCCTAGGAATGCTTTTAGAGCATCTATTCTATTGTTTTCTTTGCCCTGCCCTTAAGGTCATTGTCTTCTTAGAAAATAAATGTTTCCTTGATCCTCCAGGTTTTCGGTAATACCTTTTAAATTATGCCGCAAAATGTCAACATATTATTTGGTACCATTTCATGACACGCATAAAATAGGACACTTACACCTCCATGTTTTACAGTAGGCCTCATGCTTGATGAGCTTGAAACACAATATTAGGTTTTCCTCAAATATATTTGCAGTTATCGAAACCGAAAATGTTGAGTTTGATGCGAAAAACTTTCCATCCGAAAAAATAACATTTCTTCACAATTCTAGATCATTATTAACATAAGTTTTGACAAACTCAAGTTTTTTTCTTGCCATTCATCTCCATAATAAGTATATTTGTGAATTACAGTTTTTACTTCCTGTAAACAGAAGATGAAATTCGAACTTGTGGCAACCTCTATTGCTGTCGTGGTGGCTGATGAAGTGGGATCTCGCCAGGACAAGGTTTGTTCAAAACCGAACCTGTCTCTCTAAATTTGTTTACTATATTTCTAACAGTACTAAAACTAATTTTTAATATGTGCACTAATTGTCTGTACTATTTACTTTGGAATGTAATTTAATTATTTGATTTTTGAAAATAATACAATATTCACCAGTTTTACCCTTGTTGCTACTGGAAAGATAGAGAAAAGACTGGTTCTTATATCAGTCATTGTTTCATTGTCATTGAAAGAAAAATAATTTATTTGTTTTGATTGGAGGTATTAGTTAACGTTTAAAATCATGCCAATGTTTTTTTAATACTCAAAATTTACTCTGTTATGTTTACTTTAAACTCGGATTGTGAATTAGAAACATTCATTGTTTCTAAATTCTAATTTTCAAGTGCTTATTTTGAAATAAATATTATTTCTACATATATAAAGCTTATTGAGATTTGGGGAAAAAGTAGGGTGTGTTAATACTTTTTTGATCCACTGGATAAAGACAATCTGTTTTTATGTGTCTGAAATAGTTGTGTATAATCCAAATTTAATGCTGGTAAGGTTAAATTTATATTAGTATAGCAGGGAACAGCTAATATAATATAAATTAACTACCTCCACTGGGCTAAATACTTAAAAAATCATAATATATTATTTTTTAAAATTATAATGATTTAGCTGCTAAATTTAAGCACCTGTCAAGAAAAAATATTACAAATTATCTCTTTATTATTATTTTATTTATATATATTTTTTTGGGGGCGATCAAAGATCACTTAAACATCATTTCATAAATTTATTTATTTTTTTTCTTTTTCTTTCAGAGTAATTAACGTTAGGAAAAAAAAAAAAAAAACTCTCCAAAATTAAACCCCGAATCTGTTACTGACCACCTCAGACAAACATTTTTTTCATTGAAACCCAATTTTTTAAGTATGTACAGGGAAGTAAAAAAATTATCTAATGGAATAAAAAAGTTTCAATTGATGTTTTTGTGTCAAGTAGAGATAAAAACATAATATTAGGTGAAAATAATCTAAGTGGTTACTGGTTCAATTCAGAACTAATGTTTTTTTTTAGAGAGAGGTTAATGTCCTTATCTGCACAAACTAGTACAAGGAAGTGTTACTGTTCACCAGAATTATATAATATAACTCATGTTTATATCTACAAATGTTAATTTGAATTTGCAGTAAAAGCCTTCTTGTTTGAAGTGTAACAACCACTTGAACTGTTTACTTGTTGCTGAAGTCATTGACTTCCATGTACATTATTGTTTGTCTTGTAAAAGTCAATGGTGTGCAAGATAATATATGTTGTTCATCATAATTATTTTTTAAAAGTACATACTTTGGTACTTTAGTAAGCATTTAAGCATTGTTATTATTTATGAATTGGCTGAATGTAAAGGAAAAGTTCTCTATTTAAGCCCTGAAAATCCATAACTGAAAGTAATTGGTAAAAAAAAAAAAAAAAAAAGAAAAGGATTGTACAATATCTTTAGCTTTCAATAGAAATTACATATCCTCTTTTAATTCAGATATGATTCGCTTTAACAAAAAGGCACAGATATTTTTTGTAAACTTTACTGAATAGCTACATTGGCACAACTTTATACCAATTATGTCATTTTGGGAATAAATAGACTTGATTTCTAGATAGGTTGACAGGTTCGATTGAAGGAAAAGCAAGAACCTCAATTAAAGTCTACTTATCCCAATGGCTACAGCACCGAGTAGAAAAGATACTTTTCAGCAGAGATGCCCATCCTCCTTCCCCTAGAGTGATGCCTCTTGCCTCATCCCAAAAAATTATTTCTCTCCTTGGAAAGGGTACAAATAAAAATAAAATAATAAAATTTGTAGTTTAGTTCTCCTTCTGTAGGAGGTTCTCTTCATATGAATCTCAAAAAAAAAAAAATATGATTTCCTCCAAAATTTCATAGCCCCTCAAATATGTGCTTAGTAATCCATAACCTCATAAAAATGAGCTTCTCTGAAGAATTTAGTTGGTGCAACTTGCACGGGCGGATCTACGGGGGGGGGGCTTTCGGGCTGAAGCCCCCCCCCCCCAAAATGCTAAAATAAGTATTTCTTAAAGTATTATTGTTCGTGTAATTACATTTAAAAGGGCTTTAGGAATCACTTAAACACCATTTCATATGGTTAGCTTCTTTCTTTTTTTCCAAAGTAATTATCGTTATTTTTATGAAAAAAAGAACTTTCGGGCTGAAGTCCCCCTCCCCCAAAATTAAATCCTGGATCCGCTAGTGGCAACTTGTGCCATCCAACTTCCTGAGCACTCTACCTTTCCAATTGGTCATACAGGCAGATCTACAGGGGAGGTAGAGAGCTTTGAGGCTGAAGGCCCCCAAAATGGTAAAATATAATCATGTTTTATGGAAAAAAAATATTAAAAAATTATCTCTTAAAGTAATATTGTTCGTGTAATTAAATTAAAAGGACTTTCGAAATCACTTAAACATCATTTCAAATAGGTAGTTAGTTTCTTTCTTTTTTTACAAAGTAATTATCGTTATTTTTATGAAAAAAAAAAGCTTTCGGACTGAAGCCCTCCCCCCCCCTCAAAGTTAAAACCCCGATCCGCTAGTGGTTGGTCAAGAAATAAACACAAGGCTAGAATCCAATCAGAATCCACACTTGATTGGAGCAAGTGTTTCACAAATAAATTCTACTGGTATTTCTTGCTTTTCGTAAATATTGATATCACTAATGCGTTCTTAATGAAAACATATTACTAAATTTGGATTAAATCATACATGTTTTCTGAATTTTCACATGAAATACTTTTGTGACTTTCTGGATAGTATCCTCCACTTCTTGATATAATATATATATATATATATATATATATATATATATATATATACATTTTTTTTTTTCTTTCTTTTTTGTTACTCGCTACTCTCGCCATTTCTGGCATACGGGAGAGAAGGGAGTTATTCAAAAGGTACAACCAAAACATATTGAGAAGGTAGGTCGAGATTCATTCAGTGGGACCGCCATTAAATAAATTTCAATCCACCCAGGCCGAATTCGAACTTGCGTCGATAAAGCGGGCAACACTTCCACATGCTCGCTCATCATTGCCTCTAATTCTTAGTCTGAAATGAAAGAAAACATTTTGGAACTTTATTGAAAATCCAATCATGTCAGCACTTGAATTAGAACTTTTCTTATAGTTTGTTCTATCGTGCAACCTAACAGTCAATAGCTTTTGGCTTCATGAATGGGCTATCGCGTGTACACAGCACCGCGAGTTGCCCGGCAACCAGATAGCCGAAGTTATGAGATTAAAAAAAAGTACGAGTTCGCGTCTCTTCGCCTGAGGGGATTTTAAAATTCCCCGCCCTCACCCTCCGGCCCGACAAAATCTCTTATAGTGTAAAAGGCGAAGTTGGGCAGAACAAGAAAAAAAAAAAAAAAAAAGAAGAAGCTTTTTGGCTTAATATTATGAAGCGAACGTTCTAATAAAATTGCAGAATTCTGGCTCCCGAAGTCCCGAACGATTGCCGACTGCTCACGAACCTTGTCTTTTTTGCTCGTCTCTTTTTTCATGTCTAAATAGTTTCTAATCTCTAAAAATTACATAAAGGGACCCCTGTGGTTTACAATCGGGAGGTAGATAAAAGCTTTAGTTTCTATTATAATTAGCTCGATGTGACGTTTCTTTACATGCGCGTGTTGTTCGCAAATCGGTAATCAGTTTTCAGGGTTCATGTGACTGAACTAATAAAAGAATTCTTATCTGGCGCCATTCGCAAACAAAAACATGGTTTAAGGAAACTTTGCTGGCGGTATCACATTCGCTTTCAGAAGAAAAAAGGGGAAGTTTTGGAAGATTTATTATTCAGAAAAAAAAAAATGTTTTTCTTTAATGGTGACCAAGATTCGATCACATAAGTCAATATTCATAATATTAAATCTGATGGAATAGATAATAAATTAAAACGTCCTTCAAATAAAGGCCTCATTTTGACAAAAAAAAGTCATATTTTTATTTTTTCATTTTTAAGTAAAAATTGTTCAAATCTTAGTTTATTTGGGGTTCAAGTTGAGATAAATTTATAAACACAAATAGCAAAAAATATTATTCGTAAAAGAGATTGTTGTGTAAATTGGCAATTAACAGATGAAAATCGCAAAAAAACAAACGTCTTATGGAACTGTTTTTTAAACAAAAATAATTTAAAATGGGACAAATCGTCACACTTGAATCACTTCCACAACCGTTCAAATTAAGTTTCCTAAGCCATTTTGTATAATCTCCTATGTCTTCATTGTATTTCTCATGTGTGTCAAGATTTCACCTTGACAGAGGTGTCCATTCCCCAAGACCGATGGCGCATTAAACTCCCCCAACCCCTCCCAAGATACTTTATTCCTCTCTTCTTCTTAAAAAGAGTGCAAACGGAAGTAGAGTTTAAATATTCATAGATTATATACAATACACACCCTGCGCTTCTCTGGCATGCTTCCACTTGTCTTTTAATTTGAAACTTTTCATTTTGAAAATTACCCCACTCACAGGCGGATCTACGGGGGGGGGGCTTTCGGGCTGAAGCCCCCTCCAAAATGGTAAAATGTAACCATATTTTACAGAAAAAAAATACTTTATACTATCTCTTAAAGTATTCTTGTTGGTGTAATTACGTTTAATAGGACTTCAAGAACCACTTAAACACCATTTCATATAGATAATTAATTAATTTCTTTTTTTTCAAATTAATTATCGTTATATATATATATATATATATATATATATATATATATATATATGAAAAAATTAAAACTGTCGGGCTGAAGCCCCCCCCAAAACTAAATCCTGGATCCGCTAGTGACCCCACTTATCCCTGTTGAACAAATCCGATACCTTGGACTTCACTTGGACAAACGTCTAACTTGGAATCCTCATACCAGACTGAAACGACAAGAAACCGCTCGACGTTTCCGACTACTCCAACACTTACCAGACAAACGCTCTAAACTTTCCCTTAATTACAAAAGACTCATATACTTGACTATAATAAGACCTATTTGGACTTACGGAGTTGAGCTATGGGGCTCCACTAAACCATCGAATTCCTCTCGCATCCAATCCTTACAATCCAAAATCCTTCGTAAAATCCTCAATGCTCCTTACTTTGTCACTAATAAAATAATCCATAAAGACCTCAATGTTCCATATGTTTTCGATTTGGCCAAATCCAGATACCTATCCTTCCATAATAAACTTCATAACCATCCGAATCCTCTTGTTTCTAACCTTGCTTCCTCTTAGATTCCTGATAACCCTCCGAGGCGTCTGAAAAGAAGATGGCCTCGTGATCTTCTCATGTTGACAAATTATTAGAGTGCTACCAGTGGGTAGTTTCTTAACAAGCGTGTTTCATGTAATAATATTTCTCTGTACAAATTTACTTGATGTATTCATACTAATACAGTTGTAAATATCATAATACAAGATTAAAAAAAAAAAAAAAAAAATTGAAAATTCATAATCCCGTCGAAATGTGCCCTTCAAAAATTGAAAAACTCCTCAAAACGTGCTACCCTCATAAATTTTGATGGTGCAATTTGTGCCATGATACTCCCTTCTGGGTACCCCTTCACCTTAGCATTCGTGAGCGAGAAGCGACTCTGGGTCCTACTTTTTCTTTGGGCAGTTCAAAGTTTCTTTTTTGACGAACCCATAGAATGAATCTCCATCTCCCCACTTTGGTTAGGATAAATTGGTAACCTGCAGGATAATCCTTGCTTCCTACTCTAATCGAATAAGAAAGCGGCATTAAACCCAAATGAACAAAAATGTGAAGTTTTCATAGCTCTTGTAACTTATCTTCTCTTCCTTAGTTGCAGTCAAAACAGAGCAGAGGATAATCAACACAGGAGGCTGTTCAACTCCTCTCTGGTTATATTTTATTGTTTAACTTTTATCATTACTGATTATGTTTCTTCCTATATTGGACTTGCTAGTTTGCCATCTTGTGTTATTCTACCTATCCACCTTGTTTTTGGCCTCATATGTGGCCTTTTGCTAATTACTGTGCCATTCATTATTGATCATATCATGAGATATGTACTGAACAGTTTCCATAAGTGGTTCTTTGTCTTTTTCTTCCATCTGTCCAGACAACTAACGGATCCAGGATTTAATTTTGAGGGAGAGGGGCTTCAGCCTGAAAGATTTTTTTTTTCATATACAACGACAATTAATTTGAAAAAAAAAAGAAAGAAAATAACCACTTATATGAAATGGTGTTTAAGTGATTCTTGAAGTCCTATTTAATGTAATTTCAGGAACAAGAATACTTTAAGAGATAGTTTTTAATATTTTTTTCAGTAAAACATGGTTATATTTTACCATTTTGGGGGGAGGCTTCAGCCCGAAAGCTCCCCTCCCATCCCCCCATCCGCCTGTGGACTAGTCCCACATTTCTTGGTTGTCATGCAGAAGAATTTCTTTTAAAATCTCTCGTTGTCTAATGTCTAAGTATTAAATATTATTCATGTGTTTGTAAATTTATACTATAAAAAAAAAAAAAACCAAAGCAAAATCTGAATTCAATAAAAACATATAATATTAACATATAATAAAAAAAAAATTAGTTAAAGCGTCAACTAATTTTATGCAAACACATATAAATTAATTTTATATGTGTGATTACTTTTTCTGTAGAACAGTTTCTATCAATAATTACAAAAAATAGTGAACCAATTTTCTTACATCCAGTTGGTCCACAACATTTTTCTTATATTCTTTGCATGTCTTGAAGTAGCCGTCCGTTAAAACGATCCCTGAAGAAAATATTACAATTGCTGAAGAGATAGCAATAATAGAAGAACAGACAGCAAAAAGCTTTGGTATTCTTTGCGGGTTCATCACTTCTCGATGGCTGAAACAGGAAAGAATTCATCTGTATTCACAACACAATAAGTGTAATATTTTAATTGTGATCTATAATCTGTAATTATTTGTTTTCAAACTTAAAAGTATTTTTGATTAAAAGTAATAATTTAGATATTAAAGACATGCATGGGTATGCGATGATGTACCTTACTTATTGCAGCATTCATGTGCATACACTTTTGTTATTAGAGGGCTGTTTTTTTTAGTACTAGAAATAGCAGAGATACATTTTGATTGAATGAAATAACAATAATTTAGATCAGATGGTATTTTTAAGAACTGACAATTTAGTGGACAACACAGCACATAAAGCTGAAGGACTTGGAATGACTAACTCATAACGAAATAAAGGTGGGTTGAAGAACTTAAAAATCTGTGGAACTGATATGGTGTGACTAGATTTTTTTTTTTTCACAAAGGCAACTTCAGCCCAAAGGATTTTTTTTCATATATATAACAATATTAATTTGAAAAAAAAAGAAAGAAAGAAACTAACTACCCATATGACATTGTGTCTTAGTGATTCTCGAAGTGCTATTAAATGTAATTACACGAACAATAATAGTTTAAGAGATAGTTTTTAATATTTTTTTCTATAAAACATGGTTATATTTTACCATTTTGGGGGGCTTCAGCCCGAAAGTAACCCCCCTCCCTCCCCGTAAAACCGCCTGTGGTTGTTGGTATGATATAAAAGGTTTATTATTATTTTTGATCTGGAAACTCTATAGATCAATTAAGACTTATTCTAGATTATGAAAATGCATCACAAATTCTAATCAGAGGAGGAAGGAGGAGCAGAAAATTACAAGTATACAACATTTATAAAATAATGCTGATGTATCATAAAATAAAATTATAATATATTTATAAACTCATTATGTTATTATATTTTGGGTGTCAAACCTATACCTCTTGAATATGCTTTCACTGTTAAATTTTTTTTTTTTTAATATTTATATTTTCCCCAAATCAAATTTTAATTAGCAGGAAATATTTCTTAATATTTCTAATTCTAGAGAGGTGCATAATAATTGCTATTAATCATATTAAAAATAATTAATACAAAATTTGCAAAAGAGGAAGGTTACATAATTTTTAATTATGCCTCCTAATGAGAAGATAAGGATATTTTAGATCATCTCAAGAGTGGTGGCCATTTTGATTTAAAAGTGAAAATTTTCTTATAATTAATGTTTTAAGAGAAAAATGAATCTTTGGGATAAAAGGAAATAATGAAATTTTATTTATTACTTCTTGCCAGTAAAACAAAAATCATTTAATTTTAGCTAACATAGAAATAATTTATTTAACATAGAATTTTAGCTGAAGAAAACCTATTAAATAGAAGTAAATCATCAGTTTGATTTATTACATAGTGCAAATGGAAAACTCTTTGTATTTAAAAAAGAAGGATTTATTTTTATGTACATGATTTAGTTAAAATTTCGTAATGTTTTTTAGAAATGTTTTATGTTTTTTCATTAACAATGGTAGCTTCATGTTTGAGGAATCAGAAAGGCTGAATTTACATACTGCAATAACAGAGTATGTAACAATGTATTCATAGTTAACTAAGAAAAGTATATTACAAGCATAAGATATTAAAGAAATTTTAAATGTTATCATTTAAAAACTGTTTGTAATTTAAATATTATTTTAAAATTTGTATTATTATTATTATTATTATTGAATTATTGTACATAAACTTAAAGCTTAGCTGTACTGTGAAGCACTAGCGGATCCAGGATTTAATTCTGGGGGGGCTTCAGCCCGAAACCTTTTTTTTTCATAAAAATAACGATAATTACTTTGGAAAAAAAGAAAGAAACTAACTACCTATATGAAATGGTGTTTAAGTTATTCCTTAAGTACTTTTAAATGTAATTACACGAACAATAATACTTTAAGAGGTATTTTTTAAATTTTTTTTCCCATAAAACATGGTTATATTTTTCAATTTTGGGGGGGGGGCTTCAGCCCGAAAGCCCCCCCCTGTAGATCCGCCCGTGCTGTGAAGAAAAAAAAGTGACCAAACTAGATGTAAAACATGAAAATATTTAAAAATGATAACTAATTATTTAAAAATTAATCAACTAATTTATTATCTTCTGTTGATAGAATGGATTTGAACAAGTAACATCAGTGATTAAGATAGAATTAAGACACTTCGCAGATTTCAAAAATAACAATACAATTATTTTTTTTAAATGGACAATTAAACAATAAAGTTAATGATTTTTTTTTTTAAATGAAAATATATTTGACAATGATTCCATGAGGGGATAATTTATAAATATAAAATAAATCAGAAAAATCTATTGGAAACAGTGCAACTGAACACCGATGAATGAATAAGTAGATGTTATTTGAAGTTTGAAGATTTTTTTAAATTAGAGAAACATATCATTTTATCTTTGCATAATATACCATAAATACATTCAGAACCTTTGAGGTGTCAAGAATAGTTATGAAAACCAAAATGACTTTATCTTCAAGTGAAAAGTTGTGTGCTGAATATTTGGTACTGTAGAGCAGAAGTATCCAAACATTTTGGCCTATGGGCATCATTGAGACCTAGACTAAGTTCTGCGGACCGCATTGAGAGTTCCAAACCAGCCCTACAAGCCATGGCTTGAGATAAAAAAAAAAGAAAAGTTCTATAGACGACACGATGCTGTGAAATGAGCTCTCTAATAGAAAAAAAAAAGTGCAATAAATGCCGTAGTAACTTCATGTGTAAGTAATTTTCTAAATTTTTCATTTTTAAATAGTTTTTAAAATTTTTCCATGTAATCAAAGAAACTTTTGCGGGCTGGATTGATGGGATCTGGCCCGCGGGCTGTAGTTTGGAGGCTCCTGCTAGAGTATGGAGAGTTCTGGAGAAGCAAGAAGAGTAGATACCTCAACAAACTTTTTAAAGTATCTGATATTGGATTCACTAAACTAGGAAAACTCAGCTAAGCAAGTTAGAATGGTATGTAAAAAGAATCTACAGAAAATATGGAAAGGAGTGTTTCATTGCAATAGAAAATTTGGACATCCAAAGCTGTGGTAGATAGATGAAATAGATACTGATTCAAAAAACTCCTAGTAAACTAGAAATTGGATGACAGAAACTCATTTAAGATGCTAGAATGCCATTGCAGTTGTATAGATAGCCATAGAAGTTGTATTGCAGTATAATAAATATGTTCAGGGAAAAGAACAATCATCACTCTCATTTTAGGTGTTTTGGCAAAATTAAAGTTTTGAGATCAGTGCTGGATCCATAGGAGGGGGGAAAAGGAGAAAATTTCTCTCCAAAAAAAAAAAAAATATGGCTGTAAAAAAATATTTAAAAACAATAAAGTAATTATCATTCCTTAGGTAATGAAAAATTTAAAATTGACTCATCTTGTGAGAAATTAATCATTTTAGCTACATCACCGAAATGATTTAATTAACTTGTCTATGTCCATCACGATCGATCTTAAATTGTTTAATGTATGTGATAGTTAATAGTTCAATAATCTATTTTTACAATCTCTACCATAAACAATGTAATGTTTCTCTCAATAGATCTCATTCCTCTGGATCTACCTCTAGTTCTAATTAATGACTGTTAATAATTAATATTAATATTAATAAATTGTTGCATTCACTCATATTTTATTAAAGTTACCTAACTAACTGACATTTCATGGCTACAACTGGACGATTGATAAAATTTTCCTTCTATTTTTTTACATAACTTATTTCATTTATTTATTTTTTAATATAAATTAACCCATAATCAAATAAATGTTATCAAGTATGCAATATTTGTGGTAATATTCAACAACTTGATTTCACTTTTAGCAATGACTCATTATCTTTGTTTATATGTTAGTGACTCAAACTGAAGTATAAATCGATGATCATATTTCAATATGAAAGGTTTGGATTACATTTACTGAATTTTATCACCGATAGTAATTATTTTCAGGAATGAGTTCATAAAAAAAGTAAATAAATATTATCTGAAAGATATATTTTGTCTTGAAAATAAATGATATTCTAATTTTGTATATCAATTCAAACAAAACTCTTTATGGTAATGATATATTAAATACCATATACTTAAATTAAAAAATATATTTTTTAAATTCAATTCATCAGAAAAATATAGTGTATTTTCTATAAGATTTAATTTTTTTTTGTATTTATCAATATTTGAAAACAAAATCATTATAAATATGTTTCTATTAAGTTATTATTATATTTAAATGATTCGATGATGAAATGACTTTTTTTTTTAATCAGGAATAAAACAAGTGAATGATATTCACAGAATGACAATAATTAACCATTAATTTATTCAAACTTAATGACAAATAAATTAAGTTGTTAAAATCTGTTTGACTGTTAACAATCACATATTGTGCCATTAATTTCAAAATCTTTTAACTACATATTTACTATATTATCATTATTAGATTTTTAATTAGGTGTTGTGATGTATTATAAATTATTGAGATTTCTCTCTAAAGTGACTTTTTTGTTTTACTACATATATTTTAAAAAATCTTCCGACTTCTAGTTTTAAATAATTGTAATATAGATACACATCAGTGTTGATAAATATATGTGATTTTTAGGCGTATTATAATTTAAGCATGATCCAATGAAATCATTAGATAATTAATTAATGAAATCATTAAATGTTGTACCTACATGGTAGGAGAGTTTGTAATAAGAATCCTTTGACTCTCTTTTACAGTGCTGTGCCTCAAACCATGGTACATAACCATCAGCATAGACCATATTAGAAGTGGTATCGGAGAGAATGTCACAAAACTGCAGTTCATAGAATCTCCTCCGGAAAATTCAGTAAAACCCCATGTACCGTACAACAAACAGCTGCAAGCTTTCATGTCATCGCATGTATTCAGAGCCCAACGCCAGTAATACCATATGAAGCCGCAACTTAATGAACTGCATACAGCACAGAATGCACCGCACAAATTGAGCAAACAAAGTTGTTGGTGAGTCCGCATTTCACTTACACTAGAGTATAGTCCTGAATGTACACTGAACGGCCCCCTAGTACTGCTGTTCTAAAGATAGTACTATCTTGTTCAAACATTCAGTCGAGATAACAGGGAATCACTACTCTAAATATATTGTTAAAACTACTAGGCGGAATAACAGTTTTATATATAGATAAGCTACACATCGCAGCTAATATTGACTTTTGGTTATCATTCTAAACTATATAGAAAGATATCTTAATTTTATAACAGCGTTTAGAGCTCATCAGAAGAGAAACCATTATCCAAAATGTGTATATAAATTATGTAATTTCATTATGGCTAAATATTTTTTTAATCTTCTTGAGTATATTACAGCGGCAATATGTCATTTACAGTCATAAATCTTTAAATGCAAATTAAATTTGTGTCAAGCTGTAATGAAGATTAGATTAGTTATAAATAAAGGAGAGAATATTTTTATGATCAGCAGGATGGATAAGGATAATAAAAATAAAATTATGAAGGAATTTCAATAAAATTGTGTTTAATATGAGTATTAAATAAAATTTGTTTACTTAAAAAAATACTTTGACAGTTATAGGCGGTATCTAAGGTATATGAAATTAACAAGGTCAAATAAAGAAGTCTGTAAAACTATCCGAGGTCTATAAAATTACATTTAAAATTTTATAGATCAGGAACATTATCTAAAATAAAATGGATGTTACAATTCCATTTAAAATTTTTCATCTATTTTATTAATAACAGTAGTTTTTGAAAAATAATCTCCTATTATTTCAGTCTGTTTATTACTAGTTCCAAACTAGATACATAAACAGAAAAATTAAACTAAATGCATTATTTTACAGCAATGCACATTTGTTAACAAATTATTGTTGGAACTTTATTGGAACAAATTATTATGTTACAAATCAAAGTTAAAAATATTTAACTTGGTTTATGAACAACTGATTTTTTTAATCTGTAAAAATTAATTAAATTACACATTAGTATGTGTGGGTTAACAAACAAAACAACGTGTAGCCAACAATATAGCTGTCTGTTGTTTACAAGTTGTGTTTGTTAATGCATAAATAATAATGTGTAATTTAATTAATTCTTACATATTAATAAAATCAGTTGTTAATAAACCAAGATAAAAATTAAATTAAACATTATTATTTCTGCGTTAACAAACACAACAACTTGTAACCAACAATATAACTATCTGTCCAATAACATCTGTTATTTAACAAATATTTCATGAAATGAAAAATAGTTGGTAGAAGAAATTGTTATAAAAGGGAATAATCATTCTCGATAATACATGAGCCATCAAGGAATAATCTCGGCTTAAAATCATTATTAACTCTGGAGGAGATTTATCTCGTGATGGTTTGGACATGTCCCACAGATTTAATGTGTGAGAATTGCATGACTGACCTATGACATGAAGGAGGATGGAAGAAGCAGAGGATGCCCTAGGAAAACCTGTGAAGAAAATGTTAGGGAGTCCTCTGTGGGTAGGAATCTGAATTGGAGAAGGAGAGGGAGCTGGCACAGGACCGGACAGAATGGATCAAGCTGGCAGTAGATGAGGAGCGGATCAAAAATAAAACTTTCGGTTAACAATAAAAATCTTAAAATTACTGCTTCCTGATTATTCAGCAATTATGTATGAATGTTCATAATTTTCATGGATGGCATTTGGAAATTTTGTAAAAGGTGGACACCCAGAGCAATAGTGGGATACTAGAATATGACCCCAGTGTTGCTGAATCGCTCTAGGTCGCTGTGGATGAATGGCAAGAAGAGCGGCAAATCAGAGGCATGCAGATCAATTCCTCCAAAAGAAAGGTTATGTGTGTTAGACGAAGGCACGAGAATCTTAGAATCACTTGCAATCGAGGGACCCTTAAGCAAACCGATACTTACTGCTACCTGGGAACAATGATCGGCAAGAATGGAAGAATCGACCAGGAGGTCATGAATAGAGTCCAAGAGACCAATGGAGTATTCTACTATTCAATTTTTCTCCCAGTGCTACTATACGTATCGGAAAGCTGGACACTCTTGGATCGCCATGCCAGCAAGGTTGCATCTGTGGAAATGAGAAGAATGGAAGGGTGCAAGATGAACTAGGAGTTAAATCCGTCCTAGAGACGATTGAAGAAAGAGTTGAAGTGGTACGGGCATGTTAACAGAATGGGAGATGACCGTAAGGCCAGGTGGCTTCTAGTAGCAAGACCGGGAGGAAGGTGACCTCAAGGCAGTCCAAGACTCATGTATGCAGACTTGATAGAGAGAATTGGCACAGCGAGAAGGAGCACCATTTGAAGAGATGAGAAGGCTTGCACAGGACAGGGACCGTTGGACAAGATGGTCAGAGGCAGCTACTCCAGGCTTAGGAGATAGTGAGAGAAGAAGAATTATCCATCACTAACCATAATTTTTGTTTAATGAATTATATTTCTGTTATAAAAAAAAGCTGTGACGATGACCCCCATGCATGGGTTGAAACACCGACAACAATAAAAATCTTAAAATGACTGCTTCCTCAACTCTCAACTAATTTCCTTCAATAAGGTGTTCTTCCATCTCCGTGAACCCTCCCTTCATACCTGTTAATCAGTTTGAGAATATTAGAAACTTCATATACTGGTGTGGGCAAAGCTTAGGAGGAATGGTTTCAAAGAGAAGAAACCAGAAAGAGAAAGACAACAGATCTTGTTGAAAATGGACTGGTAAAGTTAGAACAATCATTAGAGTGTTACTTATTTCCATGCAATGATTTAAAGGTGTAAAACCAGTTATCATCAAAACTTATGAATATGTAGTAGTGAGAATCGTAACTTGATTCTGCTTACATGCACCAAACCTAATGTCTCTTGTTTTGAAAATCACAATATTTCCAACATATAGCATCACAAATTATTTAGTGGTACTTAAAGGAGAATTATGTTCTTGAGACAACAGGTTTGATCCCTGAATATTTATGTATTCTTTAATTATTGAGTGCAAGTCCTGTTCTATTTTTCAGATCTCCAGTTTCATTAATGGTTTGTTTCTTTTATTTGCCGTGTGATGTTCCTTGTGCAATATTTGACGTTGAAATCTAAGGACTTTTCTAAAAAAAATGTGGTTTACTATACGCAGTTTTGAGGTATGTATAAAATCTGTATGAGTTATTCTTAGCCAGTTCTATGGCATGGTTTTACCTGTAACTATTATTTTATTCAGACCACGGACTTAGTATTATTTTTTCAGCGAGTTTCCATCTCACATCAACTGCTATAAGATATTCCTTGTTCCAGTGATTTACTGAATACAAAATGCAATTTACTGTTATATATCTAATTTAATTATTAGATTTTGTCCCCTTCCTGAGAACAAGAATGTAACCTTACACCCCGATGTAATATCTGAAATATTTTCATTTTGTAAGGTGGGGCCCAAAATGAGCAATTACATTGAAGTTCTATAATCATTTTATAACCATTAAGTATAAATTACTGTTACTTAAGTACATGTTAGTTTTCTATATAAATCTTTGGTATTTGAGAAACATTCTTTTTATATTAACAAAATATTTAATATATATTTACACTAAAATTAGAGACATTGATTAGAAATTTCTATTCATAGGCTAGGGAATTTTGTCATCCATCAAGTTACTTAACCATCATATAATTGATGCCAGCGGCAATTGTTCATCAAGTTATACTGTACGTAAACAATTTTTGTTATTGAGCTTTAAATATTTTAATTATGCTTCGAGCCATAGATTATCTTAAGTATTTTGTTTTTTTTAACAATAGTAATTGCAAATTTTTGATCAATTTATATAATATAATAATATATTGGAATACGTAATCCCAGGCTGGAGTTTAAGACTGGCTGAGGCATAAGATTTATTTTCTGTTATGGAAACTGAATCAACTTTGAGGTCAAAAGACCATACACAATACAATAGGACATTGAGTCAAAGGTCAAAACCTAGCAGTTAGAGAATGAATGGCTTCATGTTTCATAGTGGTAGTATTTTATTTTTTTAGAAATTTGATTTTATAAACAGAATGTTTTTTACAACAAAATTTAAAGTTTTGAGGGAAGGACATGGGAATAAATATATATAGAAATTTTCAATCATCCCAATTGAAAATATAAGGAGACAAATTTTAAAAACATACCATCAAATATTCAATAAAACAGCTTTATTTTTACAATAAGATTTTCAAATCATTAGTTTACAAATAAACTATAGTTTAACAGGTAAAGTTGTCTCTATTTTGCATAAACACTACACATAAGTGAGTCTTTCCATAAACTTAAATGTTTTTTTGACAGAGAAAATAATGTATATTTTTTAAGGAACATATTACAAACCAATTAAATTAAAATTGAAAAAAAAAACAGCATAAATATTTGCTAAATTATAATATAAAAACATATTTATAAAGGTACAGGTTTTAACAAAATAAATAACAACAGACAATTTCTTCATATTTATTGCGAACTCATATTTACATACAAACAGTGATATCCATTCTAGCTTGTTTTCCTTCACTCGAAACATTATTCATTATCTAAATACATATCACTTTTGAATAATTCTTTGTTTCCTGAGAGGTGGCGATAGGACTCATAGATATACAATCACTCTTTCGACATTATTTACACAATTTTCTTTTGATAATACGCTAACTAAAAATCGTATGACTAAGAAGCTTTGAACGCTGAGTAGTCTTTCGAAAACGAACTATGAAACGGTAGGGATCAGGCGGGTGAGTAGGACCGCATCATGCCCTGCAATTTGTCCTGTGATGTTAGGAAGCAGTAAAGTGCTGCAATGCTGAATCCAACAGCCCCTCCTATTCCACAGCGCCTCAAGCCACCTAAAGCAAGTTATTATTACAATAATAATTTTTTTTAATAATATATTATTTTCAATAAAATTTTGTTTAAAAAAATAATCAAAAGAATAATAAATATAATTAAGAAAAAGAATAATGCTTGAACTAGGTTCATACTCTGCAGATAAATTTCAATAACAATTTATTTAGGAAAGACTGTTTTAACTTAAATAGGCATTATGCTTATTACTATTCTCAACTAATTAAAAAAAAAAATCAGACATATTGAATTAAGTTAAAGAGAAGAATCATTTACAATCTACAAGAATAGCCATGCGATTCATGAAATGACATAAGGTTTAAGGACATTAATTCCAAATTAAAAGGCTCAACTGAGTTCTTTAAAACAAAATTAGAATATGTCTTCTTTTTTATCTTTATAACTGAAGATAGTGAAATGAACCCCACAAGTTCATGAAAAAAAACAAAAACTTAGGATGTCATAATAAGTGAAATGTGAGAAAACGATGCCATTGCTTAACATAAAATGCATTTAAGAAACTACTTGTTTGCATTTTCAGAAAAAATAGTATAATTACAAGCTCTATAGTATTTTTATAACAAAGATAATGAAAAATACATAAATATAATAAATCATGTCACCGAGATTCCAGTTTATGAGGTAACTGGAAATAAAGTTGTGGGTGTCCAAGAGGATCTATCTAAAAGATTTACCTCTGATAATGCCATTCAACAAGCAGATTCACTTGCCTATCTGCTCTTCAATGTTGGTCTTGAAACTGCTATAAGAGAATCAAAGATCCAGATCAGCAAAACAGTCTTTAATCCCATGGTTTAAATAAAATACTAGGATATACAAATGACCTCGATATAGTTGGGAGATCAAAAGCTGCAGAGGAAGAAGCCTTTCTTGCTCTCGAGGATGCAGCCAAAAAGCTAAGACCCATACTTGTAATACCAAGTATATGACTTCTGGTCAAGCAAATGTCCTATTGAAGGCTTTGTCGAGGAGCACCGTTATTCATTCGAACGTGTCGATGAGTTTACGTACCTGGATTCAAAAGTTAAGACAGATAATGAGATGAGGAGAGGAATAGCTCATTATCAAGAGCCATAAAAATAAGTCTGTAAAGAACATTGATCTGACCAGTGATTACTTATGGTGCAGAAACATGGGTCTTCTCAAAGACTGATGAAAAATATCTTATAATATTTCAGGAAAAATACTTTGGTTTAAATAGGAGAAGGCGCACAAACAGGGAAATATACTCCTTGCTTAAAGAGCCTGATTTAGCAAGAATTGTAAACCTCAGTAGGCTGAGCTGGATGAGGCAAGTCGCAAGGATAGAATTGCATGAAATATCGAAAAAATTGCTTGATGAAGATCTACATGCAAGCTGACCGAGAAGCCGTTCATAGCTGTGATGGGTGGATGGTGTTGGAGAAGATTCAAGGACCCTGCTTGGAGTTTGGAATTGGGAAATTGGGGCATTTCACTGATTAAACTGGCGGAAATTATTAGAGGACAAGACCAGTAATGGGTTGTGCTGTCGAATGAGTGAGTTGAGTGTGGAAATAATGACATAAACAATACAAAAATCTAAAAGGAAATGAAAATATATTTTATTATTCTGGGACTGCTGTCCCTTTAGAACAAATTATAAGTGCTGAATACATGTATAAGTGGTCATAAATAGAGTAAACATTTACAATATTGGTTATTTAAAAGTAAAAATATAGACGGAGAGAGAGAAAAAGACATTAAAATACAAACAGCGTACATAATACAAACAGAGAAAATTAAAATAACAAAAATATTTTCTGGTGATACTTAGATAGCTCTCTTAGGTATTTTTCGTAATTAGGCGGACTGAGAAAGGAGTAGGTGTTTAAAGAGGAGAGGTTTGAAAGAGGAAACTGATTGTGCATGTCGAATATCAGCAGAGATGGAATTCCAGGAGGCGGCTTGAATTGCAAATGATTTGTCAAATGCAGCAGTTCGGTGAGGAGAGGGATAGAGGTCGGAAGTGCGAGATCTAGTGGGACGGGATGGTGTAAATCCTTTAATTTCCAAGATGTTGCAATTCTTTTTCAGCCATATTTTGTAACTTTTTAACAGCTATAAATGTGAGTATTAAAAAGTGGTCAGCAATGCTCCAAATGGCACCATAATGTGTCAAAGTTAAGAAACAATATTGTTAGTTTAATTTAAAGAAGTAAATCAAATTTTTGAATAGAATATTTGATAGAGAGGATCATTGGTGTCACTTTATACTCGATAACCTATAAGTGGCACTTTTAGCAATATCAGACATTAACAGTGTTTCTAAATAATAATTTGATAAAAAGGTACAGTATACAACATGTCTTCACTATCAGCAGTTTTGGAAGCTACTGACTTCTACTCACATGAAGGATACATAAAGTTTTAACGGTTTCTTGACCTTCACATTGTGAAGTTCATTCAAAATAACAAACACAAATTTTTAAGAACTTAGCAAACTTTCTTAAGGAAGTTAAAATTCTACTCCAAATCATGGTGGTAATAAAAACGAGACAAGAAAAACAACAACACTTACTTGTGGATTTATAAAGCATTCCAGTAGCCGTTGCAGCAGCTAACGTGTTTAGTTCATCATCAGCACCACGTGCCTTTGCTAATATAACACCTAAACCACTGTACATAACTGCTAAGACTCCTAAGGTGTTGGCGTTCGCGGCTCCCTGTTTCATAACATGGTTGATTAACCTGAAAAAAAAAATTACATTACTATAAATACAAAACGTATCTATTTAGCAGTATACTATTATCTAAATCTACATTTTCACAAGAAAATAAATCGTGAGATAAATTCCTCAAGAGGACATATTAAAACATCCAGTACATAAAAAAAAAATCTATATTATGAATTTTAATTTAGAAAAATTATGTTAAAAAAAAACTTCTCCTTTTAATCATTGGTACTTACCTAATATCCCTTATGTTAACAAACATACTATTATAATCTTAATTATACTGATGAAGGAGATTGTTATGACCTATCTCAAGCTCAAAAAAATGACACATTAGAATATTTTCTGAATCTTAATTTGTGATTTTTACTGAATGTGCATCCAAGCTATCAAATTCAACTTACTCAAGCGATAAGGAAAGGCTTTCAGGGCCCTTGTCAGAGATAGCCAGAAAGATAACAAATGTGTTCAACTTATTTTGAATCTGAATAAGAAAATTCCACCTAAACAATTCTCGGTACGATTTCCGAATTCCTATTCCACGATGGTACGGATTCTTAATTATGTCCGAAATAAGCAGTGTACTATCATATTTACATAAAATGACAGGTGTGTCCTAGTGACATATTTTTACTTAAAATGGACTAAAAACACACTCAATAATGGATAATATATAACATGCAACCTTCATGATTTTTCATAGGTTTTTTTTATGCATGCTAGCTTTGGTATAAATTAATATTTTATTATACTTACACAGCAATAAGAAAATTAAAATTTCAATACATATACTTTAAATGATACCAACAGTGAATATAAAAAAAATATATGGTGCCTTCTTCTGTTATTGCCTAATCTAGATGCAGCTTCATCATAAAAAGATTCCTTGCGACTATGGGACATAACATTATTGTACTCATTATTAATCATACAATGTATGATACAGAGAAATATTTTAAAAAATATAAATATTCAATTTAATCATCATTTATTCCTTGGCATCACAATTAAAGATTTCATTTAATGAAATATTACAGGGGTATTGATTATCAAAAGTTAGAAAAAATAAAATGTTTATTTTCTAAGAAGTGAAAGCATCGATGAATGACACATCCAGATTTTGAGATTCTGTCTACAGTGTGCTACAAATGATCTTGAAATCAGCAGCCATTTTAAAATAGTGGTTCCAAACTGGCACCATATTTTAAAGGGAATGAAATGGAGAGGTTAAAAGAATGCTATAGATAAGATAAACATTGAATCACTAAATCAGGCAAGAAAAATCAATGTATTCTAATTGATGACTAGTTGAAAATAGGCTTTTCTCAACAATAACCTTGATGATTAACATTAGGTCTAGGGATGAAATAATAAAACAAAATCAGAGGAGCACGTCTTATCAGAATATCTAATACCTTCAATATTCTTTCATAGGCTACATAAAAGCATTCTACAGAGCAATTTGGAACAACATTAAATTATCATTGAACATGCTTAAGATATGCAAAAAAAACCACTATCAATGTCGATGCATTTAATACTATCAGTCTGTAAATGTACCATTCAGAGAGTTTAAACGATGGATTTAATCAATTTAAAATAACTGATGCAACTAACAGCTAGACTTACTGTGTCCTTCGAAGTTTTCCAGTTTGTCCTTCGAGTGTCGTTTGCTTGAGTCCATTGTATAAGCCTCCCATGCCACCAATTGTAGCACCAAACATACATGAAGATCCAATCTGACCAAAAGCCAACTCAAATCTATCCCTTTGTTTACCAGCTCCTTCAGGAAAAATGAATTCTGGTTTAGGTATGTATTCTGTATCGAAGTTGAGGTATGGAGATTTCGCAACGAAGTTTTGTTTCGGTTGAACTGAAATGTCAAAGTAATCAAACACTTATCATAGTAAAGTGACTTATAAATAAATAACTTTTATGTACATGCAGCTTACAGATTGATCTTAGTGGAGTGTCCGAATCGGCATAGGTTGGAGTATTATCCATTTCTGGAATAAAAATATGGCAAAACGTAAAATTTTTAAGTCACACTAAAGAATTCATCAATCCTAAAACACTATCAACGAGGGCCCATGCGTAAAAGAGGTTATCAGCTAAGTACCGCACTGATCAGTGTTGCTCTGGGTTTTTGCCAAGCCTTGTGAAATAATTATTTTTAGTTCAAAACTGCTAATAATAATAAGTTTCAAAACAATTAAACATTACATAACTTATTGCAAGTTATCATCAGTGGATAGATTTTTAATCTATTTTTTCTTTTTAAAGCAACTGTTTTTTCGAAAACCGATTCGAAAGTGGGGCTGAACAAAACAGCACAGCATATTTTTTTGAATTAAAAGAATTTAACTTAATGATTAATAATTTTTAAACTTTGCACAAACTATTTTTTTGAAGATGTGCGATACAAGAAACAGAAAAATTTAATTAGAATGTTTTTTTTTTCCAAAGAGGTATAAGTTTTTCAAATGAATCAAAACTTGAACAACATTTGGTGTTTGAAGGCTAATTGTGAATGTAAAATGAAGATGATTTATTAATTAAATTTAAGGCAGTATAACTAAAAACAACCAATTTTAGAGCTTTATTACTTTTTGATTAATTGTTTTTTACAATTTGAAGTTGATTAAAGGGCTCGAAAGACTAAATTGCTAATTTCTACTATCAATAATGGTATAAATACACTGAACTTACCGCTATAAACTTTGTACATGATGGAAATGTTTGTTGAATTGTCTGTTTTATTTTTCTTACTTTTCAATTGTTTCTTCAAAAATGGGAAGAGTTTCTATCTAGCCTTGAAATACATGAAATAATTTGGAGTTTTGACATTAAATTTAATAACTTTTAGTACAAACAGTATAAAAATTCAAAACGTTCTCTATAAGCTTTGAGATAACAGAAAAGGAACTGAGCTTTCTGTTTAAACACATGTTTTATAACCAAAATTAATTTCAAGAAAATTGAGTTACCTAAATGAGTTAGTTTGAAACATTCTAATACCCCGTGGTAAGCACTGATGCATCATATTCCATTATTCTGAATGCCTCTTACAATTTGTGGAAGTCCAAAGCCTATTTAATCTTTAATGAGTGATAACTCTACTGTAAAATTTGGTTAACTGAACTTGGCGTGTTTTTAGTTTTCTTGATTCATTTTTTTAGATTAGCATAGTTCTCCCTCTACCGGTGATTTCAGTTTCTCTTTTATATATGAGATACACCAGTTTCTTTTTAGTAACCGCATGGATACATAATATTTATAACTACGTAATGTGAGATTTAGTGATCATATGTTTATGAATAATACAAATATAAGAAAAGGCGCGGTGAGATTAAAAATGGGAAAAGATGACGAATTTAATATTTCTCACTATCAATTCACAGATATCATTTTGTGGTAGCTAACATGATTTGTGTATTTAGCGGCAATGTAACTTACTATTATAGGCAAGTGTTTGGCATGTCGAGTTAAGTTATAACCAAAAGTACGGACACACATTATTTATTTCACTCTTTTCTTGATTCTCGGCAGCACCGATTTTTGGTAGATTTAACACGCTTCTTACTACTTCTTCGCTCTTCTAATTTATAACAAGAGGTAGAAATGATCGAACCCCACTAGTTCCTTCCACGAATGCTTCGTAGTACGGATAGGTATCCATACTTCCTACAACTACCATCATAGCATTACGGACCAGCAAGAACTTGGGCCTCCACTACAGCCAATCAAGCTCTACCTTCTTGTAATTTATCCTTCGATCTTCGAGCATCCAACTACTTCAGACCGTACTCCACAACCTGTAGCTATCTGATCCGAGGGCGTCCTTTACATCTCTTGTTCTTCCCATACATCATGGGCGGATCTTCGGGAGGCTGGGGGCTTTGGGGCTGAAGCCCTCCTCTCCAAAATGGTAAAATATAACCACGTTTTATAGAAAAAAATTATCTCTTAAATTATTATTGTTCGCATAATTACATTTAAAAGGACTTTAGGAATCACTTAAACACCATTTCATATAGGCAGTTAGTTCCTTTCTTTTTTAACGGAGTAATTATCGTTATTTTTATGAAAAAAAAGCTTTCGGGCTGAAGCCCACCCCCAAAAAAAAATTAAATCCTAGATCCGCTAGTGCCATACATTATCTTTTGTTGTTTTCTTTCCACATGTCCTACCTATCTTATTCGGGTCCATTTTGCCAAAGCCAATGCCACAATGTCGGGCTCCCCTTACAGTTGCAGCAGCTCTTTATACCTTCTTCTTCTCCAAATCGCGTTCTGAGTAACTCCACTACATATTCTTCTCATGACCTTTCTCTCGCATGCGTTAAATTGAGCATACGTTTTGGTTTTCTAGTGAAGGTGAATGTTTCATACCCATACATAAATATAGACCTTACGATTGTTTTGTAGATAATAATTTTGATTATTTTAGAGAGTGATCCAAACTTTAAAACTCTTCACAGTGAGAAAAAGCATATATTTCCTGTTGATATTCTGACCAATATTTCACTCACTACTTTCTTGTCTCATGTAACCAGATTTTTCAGGTACTTGAACTGGTTTACAGAATGTTGAAAGTTACTTCACTATTTATTTTATTTTCTTATTGAACTTTTCATATACACTGTCATATTTTCAAAAACTTTAAGGCCCAGTTCAACCGCTGCCTCTTCGAATTTCTAGAATGTTTCTGATAATGCTGCTTGGGTTCTGGAGGTAATGGCAACATTGGCAAATGCTAGGTGTTGAGACAGGCGATTGTAGATTGTTTCCCGTGGATTTGTTCTAAAAGAACAAATAGCTACTTCCATCCTTATTAGCTGAGTGAAATCGCCCTCAGTGATGATATGACGATACCAGTTTCCTCAGTAGTGTGACCCTTATTGTCTCTTAAAGCTTTGTAAGTCATGAAGACATGTAGTTTCCCACCACCACTAGACAGGGGGGAGGAGGGATAATTTTATTCCTTAAGGCTTGAAGCTTGCCCTATGAGGAAATGTGACATCCAATAATTAGGGAGGACCCATTTCTCTTCTAACAGCGAATAAACGGTAGGAAAGCATTTTCAAAAGGTAGAGCTCTTATGAATACTTACCCACCCTCAATGTTGTCCTCCTGTATTATTATTTTCCATTTAGATAGATCTGTTACAATCCTTCCTTGGATATTTTCTGCAGTTGATTTTTTAAAAATTAAAGTATTAGTTTCCTATAAGATCAATGATAAATAACAACCTGTGTATTATTAAATTTAATAGAAATGATTGTAAGATAAAAAAAATGATCCTTTACATTATTTGATTGTTATCATTGATTTGCAAGTTCGTCTTTAATAGCAATTAAATAGTTTAGGGATACCGTTGTTATTTTTCTTTCTTTTATCAGTTTGGAAGAATACTCTGGCATTCATTTAGTGGTACAGGTGTTTGCCAATCCTCCACAAGGTTTACATTGTTCACATTTAGGACAATGCCAGTTAGTTTTTTATTAAAAAAATAAACGAGGAACAATCGAACTTGAATAATTCATACCTTTCAGTCAGTCCCTTGTTATTTATAATTTAAACAATAAAAAAAAACGTTATTCAATTTACTATTACTACTATGATATAATATTTTATTCTAGGGAATAAACTACAAATATGTGCATGTATCCAACATAACTTACTACATGCTTATTTATCATAGAGAAAAAAAAGAAAATTAATGTTTTTAATTTACACTTTTAAATTTCTTTAAAATCAAAAGAACAAGAATAAATTAAATTTAGGTCAGATATAAATAAAAGTAATTTACAGACATTGACGACCTTGAAGTTTTACGCCTTAAAGCCTCAGAAACAAACAAGAATCAATTATTTTCTGTAATATACAAATAACGAATAAGGGTCACACTACTGAAGGAAACTGGACTCTGGAGTTTGATGTTCTACAACTTTTATTCTATGGGTATTTCCTCTTAGGAAACTCATTTCTATGCAGGACTGTTTATAGGAATTTATCTTAGTTTTTGACAAATTTTCGTTCGTTGACTACGGTTATCGACCATACCACTTAACCAAATTATTAAGTTTATGTGATCGTTCGAACCACAATTTAACGTTCTTTAATTTCTTGAAGAGTACATTTTTCGCTTCGGTGCACCGTTTAGGAGCTATAGGTGAAAAAAAAAATAAAAAATTGGACAAAATGTGCTATGTTGGCTATAAAAAGTTTTTCCTTGGTGGTCCACGGAAGCAATTTTTTTTTACACGTTAAAACCAACATATTTTTTTATTTATTTATTTGGGTTTTATACTTAAGGAGTCATATCCCCAAGACCCAAAAGCCACTGCTCCATTAAAACCAACATATATAAATTAGATTTTTTTTCATATTTTTCGCAATGAATTTACAGTTTCGATCCTCAAGTTACTGGCCTAATATTCTTTAAATCGGCCGCCATTTTTACAGGTAATATTTTTTTAAAATATGCTTTCAAAGTTTTCCTGAAATAATGTCGATTATTTTTGCAAGGGCTCTCGGACGGAATATTATTATGCTAAGCGAATTTTAAAATAATTTGGATAAATGCTGGTTTTATTTTTCTTAGTTACTATATTTTTAGTGTTTTGGTATTGGACTTATATTAACATCCCTTTCTGCCAAAACTGTAAATGGAAGTGAATTCAATGATCCCAACAGATCTTTAAACGATATCAATAAACATTTATTTATTGTAGGAGTAATAAAGATAAAATAAAATCGTAATTATACTACAGTATTATCTGTATGAATTATTTCACACCGGTCTTTTTTTTCTTTTTTTTTTTTTGGTCAGTAAGTCACATTTTTGTCAATACTTCATAAAATCAAACGATTAAACCATAAATTTGAAATTGAAGAAAATAACAAAAAACATAAAATTTATAAATAAACTGTTGAGAACAGGTTCATGAACCCTGCAAAGAGTTTTACCCTTTGGGAAAAACCCTTCAACCCTTGGGATCAACAAACGAATCAGTTTTTATTGCTCAGGGACCTCTAATACCACTCTAATACTGCGATACCTGAAACTTTTTGCTGTAGATTTTGGACTTTATTACACTAGGGGATTCTGAGCCTGTTTTTTGTTTTTTAAAATTTATTATGAGATTTTCTATTTAATTTTACTAAGTAAGATAATTTGATCACGAAATCGAGAAAAAAGGTACCCTGGAAAAATATTGGGCCGTTTTTCCTATATAACATCGTTATTTTGAAAATTTGGGGGTGTAGGTCCCGCCAAACGGCTTAATATTTTTGAAGGCACCCTTTTTTTCTCGATTTTGTGATCAAATTATCTTACGATCTAAGTAAAAAGAAAATTAGTATTTACGAGTTTTTAGTATCTAATTAAATAGACAAAGTTTGCCTCCCTCCAGATTGAAAACGCCCAAATGCCGAGAGTTTTCGTAAATATAATAGTTGTAGGTTACGATGAGATGAAACTATTTACGAAGTTTCAGGCGGATGTTAATAATTCGATAATAAGGGGTCTGTACCACGGACTATTACACGTATGTAGCAAAAAAAAAAAAAGGAATTCGAATAATTAATTTCTTCTTAAGGTTTCTGGATGGTTTTCTCTCATCCTAAAGGTATTCTTATTTCAATGTTCTAATTTTCTTTATATCTTTATTATTTATTAGTCACATAATATAATATATTTATGATTATATTCTGTTTAAAGATTTTTTATCTTTTATTAAAAAAAATATAGTGTCTTATTTTCTTGTCTTATTAATTATCAATTTTAATTAATTAACTGCATATTAATAATTATTATTTCAATTACAAGTAGAGTTTCTCTTTGTGAAAACCCATTTAAAGGGAACTTTTCTGTTTTTAATTTAATCACGGATTATTCACGATACAGATACCACACTTTTATAAAATCTTACTTGTTTAATAAGCTTTAATTTCATATCGATTTAGTCAGTTTTGTTTTAGGACAGAGTTCAGATTCACCTATATATGTGTGAAAAATTATATAATTTGATGTTGCGTCACTGTAGAGTAAAATTTTCAGTAAAAATAACTACTGAGAAATGATTACAAAGTTATAACTCCTTCTTTTGCTTGAGACCAGACAGCCATTTTCGTAAATTAAATATGAAAATACACTTTTTATTCATTAACTAAATATGTTTTAAAAGGCGATAAATACGAAGGGTACTTGAACTTCCTACTCTTCTGGTGAAAATTAATCGATCTGATTTGTTGATGTTTTTGTGTATATTAATTGTATAATTTTAGATGATTTTC